AAATACAATCAAAGAATCAGGTTCAGGTTCACACGGAGGCTGAGGGTCAGGCTCACACGGAGGCTGAGCCCCAACACAGACTGCCTCTTGTACCTGAGGCTCTACCCTCTTGAAGGTTCTCGTCCAGAGGAAAGTTTGGTTCCAACCTTGGACTCAGGAGGTCTCAGATGCCATTCCTGGAGGAAACGTAAGAGTTTATATCGAGACTTTCCCCTTCTGAATCCATCAGAGTGGCCACTTCATTGTAGTAGTCCGCTTTGGTTTCTTCCTGCGCAAGAAACGGGTCTAATTGTGAATCTAGGATAAAGTGTGGGAGGGGAAGGCAGATGCACACTGCAAACAAACAAGTCGGTTTCCTCACTCCCCCAGTCTGATGGATGGCAGGGTGTCTGTTTGGGCCTGTGAAGAAGTAAGTGGAGGGCATTGAATAAATAACAGGTTGTTTGGCTTCACTTGGATGATGATGATTTCATTACCCACCTCTCTTTGCATCTTGAGAATTGGATGGAGGCTCAGGCTACGCTAAGCTTTTCCAAAATCCATTCGATAGATAAGTAATGTTTAGCCTGAAGAAGAGAAGGCTGAGAGGAGATATGATAGCCATGTATAAATATTAGGGCTGGGCGGTTTCGTTTCGTAATTTTGTAATTCGTTAAAAATTCGTAATTTTTTTGGGGGGGTCACGAAGCGATAATGAACCATTCAGGAGCATCTAAAAAACGAAACAAATTTTTCAATTCGTTTTGTAATTGCTTCGTATTCGTTTCGAAATCGTTTCGTTATTATTTCCGCATGTCTGGGGCAAGTTTTATAGCTGTTGTTTGTTTAATCAGTGAAAAAAAAATTATAAATATCACACCAACAGTCAACATCAGAGGGAGAGGGAAGCTTCAGAAGTCCCCCCTGTCCCATATGGAGGTTTTTTAGCGTATTGCGCGGTCGCGTCCGCCATTAACGAATCGATTGGTATTCGTTTCGTATTCGTCTCGGATTGTTTCGTAATTTTACGAAATTTCGTAAATATCGAACTTTTTTAAAGAAAAATTTCGGAATTCTTTTAAATATCGAAACGCAAAAAACCCCAAAAAAGAATCGAGTTTAGAAACAAATTTTTCCGTGGTTGCCCAGCCCTAATAAAATGTGAGAGGAAGCCACAGGGAGGAGGGAGCAAGCTTGTTTTCTGCTTCCTTGGAGACTAGGACGCGGAACAATGGCTTCAAACTACAAGAGAGGAGATTCCATCTGAACATGAGGAAGAACTTCCTGACTGTGAGAGCCGTCCAGCAGTGGAACTCTCTGCCCCGGAGTGTGGTGGAGGCTCCTTCTTTGGAAGCTTTTAACAGAGGCTGGATGGCCATCTGTCAGGGGTGATTTGAATGCAATATTCCTGCTTCTTGGCAGAATGGGGTTGGACTGGATGGCCCATGAGGTCTCTTCCAACTCTTTGATTCTATGATTCTAATACAGAGCAATCAAAACAAAAATAGTGCTAGAAATTCCCTTTTGTCACAGAAAGAACTAGCAGCGGTTGTTTCCAACTTTCACCCGTTTCATTTCCTTGGCCCCTTTGCAGATATTTGTGTCTTTCAGAGCATTGATGTGCCCTTCTCATTTGGACAAGTCACTGTGGTCTGTCAAGTTCATTGACTTGCCAAGAGTTGTCCTATCGCAGAACAGAAACAAATTTTGGAGTTTTGGAGAGAAGAAATAATTTTTAAAGGGCATTATTTTTTAAAAAAAAGTAAAGTAGTAGTAAAGAAATTGTGAGATCCAGTCTGGCTTAGTAATTTGAGTGTTGGACTGTAACTCTAGAGACCAGGGATGTAATTCCTGTTTGATCATAGAAATCTACTGAATGATCTTGATCAAGTCTCACTCTCTCAGCCTCAGAGGACGGCAAGTGCAAACTCCCTCAAAACAAATCATAGCATGATGGAAGCTCACCCTGTCCTGCGGATTCGAACTGCCAACCTTCAGGTCAACAAGTTCAGCAGCTCAATGGTGACTTAATGTGTTAAACCATTGAGCTGCTGAACTTGTTGACCTGAAGGTTGGCAGTTTGAATCCACAGGACGGGGTGAGCTTCCACTGTTAGCCCCAGATCCTGCCAATCTAGCAGTTTGAAAACATGCTAATGTGAGAAGATCAATAGGTACTACCTTGGCGGGAAGGCAAACAGGCACTCCAAGGAGTTATGCCAGCCACACAACCAGGAGGTGTCTAAGGACAATGCAGGCTCCTCAGCTTGGAAATGGAGGTGAACACTTCCCCCAGAGCTGGATCTGAGCATTGCCTCCAGATGCCGGAGATGAAAGGGGAAGCCTTTGACTTTGTTGTTGTCTGTGAATTTCTGTCTCATTGTATCAAGACATTGAATGTTTGCCCGTGTTTGTGTTTGTATATATGCTATAATCCACTCTAAGTCCTCTTGGGGAGATAGGGTGGAATATAAACAAATTATTATTATTATTATTATTATTATTATTATAACTGTGGTAGCACAGCAGTTTAAAGCTGCTAGCTGCAGGAAAGACTGCTGACCCCTCCTGTTGACAGTTCAAGTCATGAGTTGGGGTGAGCTCTCAACTATCAGTCCTAGCTCTCTGTCTACCAAGAAGTTCGAAAACATGCAATGCGAGTAGATCAATAGGTACTGCTTACGGCGGGAAGGTAAAAATGGCACCCCATGCACACAGGCTGGCAAAAGATCAGAGAAAGCTACGGACAGGTTCCTTCGGCATGGAAAAATAGAACAACCGCACCTCCCCGTGGCCAAAAGTTGAGCATTGGCCCCAGTGCCAGAGATAGAAGGAAAAGCTTTGCCTTTGTTTGTGTATTGTATGTCACTGTTCACTGCACAAAAGGCATTGAATGTTTACCTTATATGTGTACTGTGATCTGCTCCGAGTCCCTCCGGGGAGATAAAGCGGAATATATATAAAGTATATTATTTATTATTATTATTATTATTATTATTATTATTATTATTATTATTATAAACTTAACAAGATGAGTCCACAGCAGACAAGATCACTCTGCTGGCTGTTGTACTGGATCACATGTCAGACCCTTCCCAAGTGTCTAGGACTGTGTGATGTATCAGTAAATAATGCGTGCAGATCCCAGTAAGGTGGCCTTCTACAGCTGGCAGATGGTAATTTTGTCAGCACCGATTGTGTTTAAGTGCAGGCCAAGGTCTTTAGGCACTTCACCCAGTGTGCCAATCACCACTGGGACCCCCTTGACTGGCTTGTGCCAGAGTCTCTGCAGTTCAATCTTTAAATCCTCATATCGTGTCAGCGTTTCCAGATGTTTCTCTTCAATCCAGCTGTCACCTGGGATTGCAACATCGACAATCCATACTTTGTTTTTTAACACAATTGTGAGGTCAGCAGTCTTGTGCTCCAAAACTCTGTCTGTCTGAATCCAGAAGTCTCAGAGTAGCTTGACGTGTTCATTCTCTGTAACTTTTTCCAGCTTGTGATCCCACCAGTTCTTTGTCGCAGGCAGACGGTATTTGTGGCACAAGTTCCAGTTAATAATCTCAGCAGCGGTGTTATGCCTCTGCTTGTAGTCTGTCTGCGCGATCTTATTGCAGCAGCTGAGGATGGGATCTATTGTTTCATCTGCTTCCTTGCAGAGTCTACATTTGGGATCTGTGGTAGACGTTTCAATTCTGGTTATTATTATTATTATTATTATTATTATTATTATTATTGACACAAAAGCACAGTATGTCACAGCAAACAAGATCTAGATGCTGGATTTCGTATCACAAAATCACAAGTTGAACCCTTCCCAAGCGTCTAGGACTGTGTGATGTATTTTCGAGTGATGCGTGCAGATCCAAGTCAGGTGGCCTTTTGCAGTTGACAGATCGTGATTTTGTCGATGTTGATTGTTTCCGAATGCCGGCTGAGATCTTTTGTCACGCCACCCAGTGCGCCAATGACCACTGGGACCACCTGTACTGGTTTATGCCAGAGCCTTTGCCATTCGATTTTGAAGTCTTGATAGCGGCTGAGTTTTCCCTGTTGTTTTCCCTCAATGCGACTGTCACCCAGTATGGCGACATCAATAATCCAGACTTTTTTCTTTTCCACAATCGTGAGGTCTGGTGTATTGTGTTCCAAAACTTTGTCAATCTGGATTTGAAAGTCCCACAGTATTTTTGCATGTTCATTTTCCACGATCTTTGCAGGTTTATGATCCCACCAATTCTTGTGACATAAATTCCAGTGAATCAATCGGACCACAGAGTTGTGCCTTTGTTTGTAGTCTGTCTATGTGATTTTCTTGCAACAGTTGAGGATATGATCCGTGGTTTCATCCGCTTCCTTGCACAGTCTGCATTTTGGGTCATCCGCTGATTTTTCAATCCTGGCCTTAATTGCATTGGTTCTGATGGCTTGCTCCTGGGCTACAAGAACCAGGCCTTCTTCTGTCTCCTTCTTCAGGGTTCCATTCATGAGCCATAACCAGGTCTTCTCCTTATCAACTTTTCCTTCAATCTTCTCAAGGAACTGCCCATGTAAGGCTTTGTTGTGCCAGCTGTCAGCTCTGGTTTGGAGTGCAGTTTTCTTGTACTGACTCTTTGTCTGCTGTGCTTTGAGAAGTTTTCAATTATTGACTTCAATTAAAGCAGGTGCTTGGCTTTCCTTGACATATTCTGCCAGGGCGTGTTTTTCTTCTTCAACTGCTTGTTTGACTTGTAAAATAAGTTGTTGTTGTTATTATTATTATTATTATTATTATTATTATTATTATTATTGGGTTTTTTTAGGGTTGCCACAGTGTCAGAAACGCCTTGAAGGCACACAGCTACAACAATACCCATGTTCACATAGACCTTTGTGAACATACACGTTGAACAGCCTTTCACATAAAAGCAAACTAAATTTGCCTATCATAAAGCAAAAGTTATTTTCACTATGTGGTATGAGGAGCAACTGAATCTAAATAACATGGCAGTTTCTAACCAAATCTTTTTATTTCTACAGGGTTTCCTCAAAAATGAAAAAGACAATGCCTTGCTGTCTGCCATCGAAGAGTCCAGGAAACGGGTGAGTTCGTTGCAGAAATAAATCTTGAGATAGGCTCAGAAGAGTCCCAGATCCAACCAGCGCCTTCATGTTAAACCTTGTGTTTGAATGAGAATTAGAATTGAATTAGAATTTGTCTAATCCTATTTTTCATCTTACTATTTCCCGTTACTTGATAACACACCACCACCAAGGATTGTTCCATGCACCTCCGAATAAAGTGAAGCCATGCATAGACCTAGGCCGCCATTTTCTTTATCTCAGATAGATTATAGGTCCCTCTTTCTAATCTGACCATCTTGTTTGTTTCTTGAAAAAACAGTGACAAGTCCCATGGATTCAAAGGTCCTACCACATTATATTATCCTATGCCATACAAGTATCCTCCACAAATAACTGCAGGAGATCCTAATTCCCGGTGAATGTTGTCATTGGCATTGTCTGCATCCATAATGTTTCTCCTAGACCTTTGCTATGGCTGAGGAGTACCATCGGGAATCAATGCTGGTCGAATGGGAACAGGTGAAGCAAAGGATCCTTCATACGCTGCTGGCCTCAGGAGAAGATGCCTTGGATTTTACACAGGAGAGTGAGGTACAGATTTTGCAGCCACATATTGAGAGATATTTATGGGGAACTAACTGGCTTTTTCTCTGGTTACGAACGCTGGCTAATTTATTTATTTACTAGCCGTCCCCTGCTACGTGTTGCTGTGGCCCAGTCTGTGTATATGTGCTTTGTGTGTGTATGTGTGTGTGCATATATATTTGTGTATGGCTCCAGTCCTTCCTGGAGGGTCGTACCCAGAAGGTGTTGCTGGGGGGCTCCCATTTTCCTGTGGGGTCCCGCAGGGCTCAGTATTGTCCCCCATGTTGTTTAACATCTACATGAAGCCGCTGGGTGAGATCATCCTGAGTTTTGGAGTTCGACTATTCTAAAGCCTTGGACTGTGTGGATCATAATAAATTGTGGCAAGTTCTTGGTGGTCTGGGCATACCAAATCACCTTGTGTCTCTCCTGAGGAATCTGTACAAGGACCAAGTAGCAACAGTCAGAACTGACCACAGAACAACAGACTGGTTCAAGATTGGGAAAGGTGTACGGCAGGGTTGTCTCCTCTCCCCCAACCTATTCAACTTGTATGCAGAATACATCATGCGATGTGCGGGGCTTGACGAATGCAAGGCTGGGGTTAAAACTGTTGGAAGAAACATTAACAATCTTAGATATGCAGATGACACCACCTTGATGGCCGAAAGCGAGGAGGTGAAAGAAGAAATAACAAAAGCTGGGTTGCAGCTAAACATCAAAAAACCCAAGATTATGGCAACAAGAATGATTGACACCTGGGAAATAGAGAGAGAAAACGTGGAGGCCGTGACAGACTTTGTATTTCTAGGGGCAAAGATGACTGCAGACACAGTCTGCAGACAGGAAATCAGGAGACACTTCCTTCTTGGGAGGAGAGCAAGGACCAGTCTCGATAAAAGAGTAAAGAGTAGAGACATCACACTGGCAACCAAGATCTGCATAGTTAAAGCAATGGTATTCCCCGTAGTCACTTACGGATGTGAGAGCTGGCCCTTAGGGAAGGCTGAGCGAAGGAAGAGAGATGCTTTTGAGCTGTGGTGTTGGAGGAAAGTGCTGAGAGTGCCTTGGACTGCGAGAAGATCCAACCAGTCCATCCTCCAGGAAATAAAGCCCGGCTGCTCATTGGAGGGAAGGATAGTAGAGACAAAGTTGAAGTCCCTTGGCCACATCATGAGGAGACAGCAAAGCCTAGGGAAGGGAATGATGCTGGGGAAAGTGGAAGGTAAAAGGAAGAGGGGCCAACCAAGGGCAAGATGGATGGATGGCATCCTTGAAGTGACTGGACTGACCGTGAAGGAGCTGGGGGTGGTGACGGCCGACAGGGAGCTCTGGCGTGGGCTGGTCCATGAGGTCACAAAGAGTTGGAAACGAATGAACAGCAAAACCAAATTTTGTTCATTTTCATGGTTTCCTCCTTTCTGTTGAAACTGTTCACGTGTTTGTGAACAGAAAGGAGAGAACTGTGAAAATGAACAAAATCTGCTTATCAGTATAAAAAAAAACACCAGGATCAAGTCAGTAGATAAGAATAACTACTCAGTAATAAGGGAATGCCAGACAGCAAACAACCAAGTGCCAGTTAGCATCTCCCAAACAGAGGGTGCCTCCAGGCAAGAAAGGCCAGGCTACCTCTATGCAGAGGCACTCCAAGTGGCCAGCTACTGGTCAAAGGACATTTAACATAATGTCAATTTTTAAACTTTGTGTTTTAAATACCGTATATACTTGAGTATAAGCCGACCCGAATATAAGCCGAGGCACCTAATTTTACCACAAAAAAACTGAGAAAACGGAGGGTGGGAAATGCAGCAGCTACTGGTAAATTGCAAAATAAAAATAGATACCAATTAAATTACTTTAATTGAGGAATCAGTAGGTTATATATTTTTGAATATTTACAAAAATGGTAATTTAAGATAAGACTGTCCAACTCTGATTAAATGATTATTTACCTTTTTCACTGTAAATGTGCTTACATATCCTTCCAGTAATAATAAAGAGAGCAACATAACAGATGTAATAATAACAATAACAATAATAAAAAGAGTAAAATAATTAACGTATCAATGATAACAATTATACAGTAAAATAATAACTGTATAATAGAGTAAAATTTGTTGTGTCAGGAGCGACTTGGGAAACTGCAAGTCGCTTCTGGTCTGAGAGAATTAGCCGTCTGCAAGGATGTTGCCCAGGGGACGCCCGGATGATTTGATGTTTTTATCATTCTTGTGGGAGGCTGCTATCATGTCCCCGTATGAGGAGCTGGAGCTGATGGAGGGAGCTCATCCACCTCTCCCCGGATTCGAACCTGCGACCTGTCGGTCTTCAGTCCTGCCGGCACAGGGGTTGAACCCACTGCGCCACCGGGGGCATCCATAGAGTAAAATGATACATTATTATTATTATTATTATTATTATTATTATTTTATTTATTATATTCTATTTATTATTATTACATTTATAGAGTAAAATGATAAATGTAATAATAATAAATTGAATTAAATAATAAATGAAATGATAATAATAATAATAATAATAATAATAATAATAATAATAACAACAATAACAACAGAGTAAAATAATAAATAACCTTGACTCGAGTATAAGCCGAGAGGGACATTTTCAGCCTGAAAAACTTGGCTTATACTCTAGTATATACAGTACATTTTAATTGTGCCCTCAATTTGCTTCTGACACAATAAATAAACAAATACCTCTAAGCCAGCATTTCTCAACCTGGGGGTCGGGACCCCTAAGGGGGTCGTGTGGGGGTGTCAGAGGGGTCACCAAAGACCATCAGAAAACAATATTTTCTGTTGGTCATAGGGGTTCTGTGTGGGAAGTTTGGCCCAATTCTGTTGGTGGGGTTCAGAGTGCTCTTTGATTGTAGGTAAACTATAAATCCCAGCAACTACAACTCCCAAATGTCAAGGTCTATTTTCCCCAAACTCCACCAGTGTTCACATTTGGGCATATTGAGCATTCGTGCCCAAATGTGAACACTGGTGGAGTTTGGGGAAAATAGACCTTGACATTTGGGAGTTGTAGTTGCTGGGATTTATAGTTTACCTACAATCAAAGAGCACTCTGGTCCAGATCCATTGGTGTTTGGATTCACAGTGCTCTCGGGATGTAGGTGAACTACAACTCCCAAACTCAAGGTCAATGCCCACCAAACCCTTCCAGTATTTTCTTTTGGTCATGGGAGTTCTGTGTGCCAAGGTTGGTTCAATTCCATCGTTGGTGGAGTTAAGAATGCTCTTTGATTGTAGGTGAACTAGAAATCCCATCAGTTACAACTCCCAAATGACAAAATCAATTCCCCCTCAACCCCACCAGTATTCAAATTTGGGCATATCGTGTATTTGTGCCAAATTTGGTGCAGTGAATGAAAATAGACCTGGATATGAGATATTTCCATGACGATTCATAACAGTAGCAAAATTACAGTTATGAAGTAGCAACGAAAGTAATGTTATGGTTGGGGGTCACCACAACATGAGGACCTGTATGAAGGGGTCGCGGCATTAGGAAGGTTGAGAACCACTGCTCTAAGCAGATACCCTCACTGATTGACTTTGCAGCTTCATGGCTACTCAATGCTATTCAAGCTTCCTAGACCTGATAGCTTCTTCTGGAAGCTTTCAACTACTTCTGGGTTGTGTGTGAATTGACGTTTAACCTTCCCCGGGAACATCTAACACGGAGCTTCCTTTTGAACCGATATCTTCATAAGTTGTCATCTTTTGTGCCCAGCTGTGAAGTGACACTACTCTCCTGCTCACTGGCCTCGGAGTCTCAAAGGAAGAAGGGAACGAGCACAGAGAAAAAATCCCCTTTCATAGTCCCCATGAATGAGGTTGGTTTCCCGGCAGTGCTCTCTGCTCACTTTGGCGGAGACCACGTATTATCGGGAGAGCATTAGAAAACCCTTGATGCGTCGTTGCGTTCCCAGCCTTAAAAGTCAGAGGCCTCCGAGGTTTGAAGTGCGTCCGCTGTGCTAAAAGCCACTTGCTTCAAGTTGGCATCGCAGGTTGGCACTTAAGCCCCATTTCCACCAAATTATCCGCGACTCAGAGACCAAAGAGGCATCCTGAAAATAGAACGGGGCTTTAATTGGTTCCTTTCGGTTGAAAGACGCAGGTCCAAGGACGGCAGGGATCAAGCTGGGCAAAGAACCAATTTTCAAAGTTAAGGCTATTTAGGAAAAATACCAATGGCCTGCATGGAGATAGAAGACCAATTAGCAGGCAGTATTATCGTTTTTTTCTGAGTTCCATAAATTCTTGGGATGAAAAAGGTAAAAAAGAACACTGGTGATATTTAATATAGCTGCATAATGCCAGAGTATTCAGGACACAAATTGAATTCAGATGCCATTCATGGTTTGCCAGCTTTTTCCATGACACAATAAATAATAATAATAATAAATTATTATTATTAATTAGTAATAATTAATATTTATTAGTAATAATTAATAATAATAATTAAGTATTATTAATAATAATGCCATCAAAGCCAGAACTGAAAAGTCGACAAGAGATCCCAAATGTAGACTCTGCAAGAAGCAGATGAAACAATAGATCTCATCCTCAGCTGCTGCAAGAACATCACGCAGACAGACTCCAAGCAGAGGCACAACACCATTGTTCAGATGATTCATTGGAACTTGTGCCACAAATACCATCTGCCTGCGACAAAGAACTGGTGGGAGCACAAGCCGGAAAAAGTTACAGAAAATGAACACGTCAAACTACTCTGGGACTTCCGAATTCAGACAGACTGAGTTTTGGAGCACAAGACTCCTGACCTCACGATCATGCTAAAAACAAAGTGTGGATTGTCGATGTTGCAATCCCAGGTGACAGCAGGATTGAAAAGAAACAGCTGGAAAAGATGACACGATATGAGGACTTAAAGATCAAACTGCAAAGACTGTGGCACAAGCCAGTGAAGGTGGCCCCAGTGGTGATCGGCACACTGGGTGCAGTGCCTAAAGACCTTGGCCCACACTTAAACACAATTGACGCTGACAAAATCACCATCTGCCAGCTGCAAAAGGCCACTTTACTGGGATCTGCATGCATTATTTGGCGATACATCACACAGTCCTAGACACTTGGGAAGGGTCCGATGTGTGATCCAATTCAACAGCCTGCAGAGTGTCTGCTGTGGACTTTCAATAATAATAATAATAATAATAATAATTATTATTATTATTATTATTATTATTATTATTGTTGTGTTTCAATAATAATAACAATAACAACAACAATAATAACAATAATAAACTGCTTAAAGTGCAAAAGACAAAGAGGTAATACCGTAAAAACACAATCCAGAGCAGAAGAGAAAACTGGCAAAAGAAGGCTCTCCATGGACAGTTCCTGGGAAAAATTGAGAGCCAAATTGGCAAAGAAAAAACATGGCTGCGGCTCACAAATGGAACTCTGAAAAAGGAGACAAAGGAGGGCCTGATTTTGGCAGACCAAGAACAAGCCATTTGAACCAATGCCATCAAAGCCAGAATTGAAAAGTCGACAACCGATCCCAAATGTAGACTCTGCAAGGAAGCAGATGAAACAATGGATCCCATCCTCAGCTGCTGCAAGAAGATCGCGGACAGACTACAAGCAGAGGCACAACACCATCGCTCAGATGATTCACTGGAACTTGTGCCACAAAGACCATCTGCCTGCAACAAAGAAATGGTGGGATCACAAGCCGGGAAAAGTTACAGAGAATGAACACGTCAAGCTACTCTGGGACTTCCGGATTCAGACAGATCGAGTTTTGGAGCACAAGACTCCTGGTCTCACGATCGTGTTAAAAACAAAGTGTGGATTGTTGATGTTGCAATCCCAGGTGACAGCAGGATTGCAGAGAAACAACTGGAAAAGCTGACACGATATGAGGATTTAAAGATCGAATAGGCAGTAAAGGGGGTCCCAGTGGTGATCAGCACACTGTGTGCAGTGCCTAAGGATCTTGGCCCGCACTTAAACACAATTGGCGCTGACAAAGTCACCATCTGCCAGCTGCAAAAGGCCACCTTACTGGGATCTGCATGCATTATTCGCCAATACATCACACAGTCCTAGACACTTGGGAAGTGTCCGACGTGTGATCCAATTCAACAGCCAGCAGAGTGTCTGCTGGGGACTCATCTTGTTGTGTTTCAAATAATAATAATAATAATAATAATAATAATAATAATAATAATAATGATGTTGGTCATGGAGGTTCGGTGTGGGAAGTTTGGCCCAATTCTATTGTTGGTGGGGTTCAGAATGCTCTTTAATTGTAGGTGAACTAGAAATCTCAGCAACTACAACTCTCAAATGTCGATGTCTTTCTTCCCCAAACTCCACCAGTGTTCACATTTGGGCATATTGAGTATTCCTGCCAAGTTTGGTCTTGATCCATCATTGTTTGACTCCACAGTGCTCTCTGGAGATAGGTGAACTACAACTCCAAAACTCAATATCTACTAAACCCTTCCAGTTTTTTTCTGTTAGTCGTAGGAGTTCTTTGTGCCAAGTTTGGTTCAATTCCATCATTGGTGGAGTTCAGAATGCTCCTTGATTGATAGTGAACTATAAATCACAGCAACTACAACTCCCAAATGACGAAATCAATCCCCTCCAAACCCACCAGTATCCAAAATTGGGCGTGTTGGGTATTTATGCCAAATTTGGTCCAGTGAATGAAAATACATCCTGCCTATCAGAGATTTACATGACAATTCACAACAGTAGCAAAATGACAGATGTGAAGTAGCAACGAAAATAATGTGATGGTTGGGAGTCACCACAACATAAGGAACTCTATTAAGGGGTCACGGCATTAGGAAGGTTGAGAAGCACTGTTTTTCCTGTATTTATACAACTGTTCTAGTAGCCTAAAAATATTTGAAATGAACGTCATCAGTATCTGAGTGTAACAATTACCTTTTTTCCAACAGCCCAGTTACGTCAGCGAGTTATCACAACCAGGCCGCAGTTCTTTGGACAACATTGAGATGGCCTATGCCCGGCAAGTGAGTAAAAGCAGTTTTATTTTCTGAAACTTCTCCTTCGATTGAGAGAGATGATAGATCACTATATCCCAAGCTATTTCCATGGAGAGCACACCCACCCATTGTTGTTAGCAATGCTTCTTAAGGCCCGTTCAACCTCACTCCTCAGGATGTCTGGTTCTAATTCACTCACCACACTGTCAAAACTATCCTCGATATTATTATCCTTCCTATACAGATCTTCTGTATAGTCTCGCCACCTTCTCTTGATCTCTTCAGCTTCTGTTGGGTCCCTGCCATCTTTGTTTTTAAGGCCCATTCAACCTCACTCCTCAGGATGTCTGGTTCTAATTCACTCACCACACCGTCAAAACTGTCCTCGATATTATTATCCTTCCTATACTGATCTTCTGTATAGTCTCACCACCTTCTCTTGATCTCTTCAGCTTCTGTTAGGTCCCTGTCATCTTTGTTTCTTATCATGCCAAGTTTTGCCTGTAATTTACCTCCAATGTTTCTAATTTTCTGGAAGAGGTCTCTTGTTCTTCCTATTCTGTTGTCTTCTTCCAATAATATAATATAATATAATACAATATAATACAATATATTGTACGTGTGTGTGTATATGTGTGTGTGTGTATATATATGTGTAATATTTATGATATTATAATGTAATACAATATAATATTACTACTCATAATACAATATTATAATTATATATTTAGGCTTTGACAACACAATGGAAAACCACCCTAAAACTATTGTTGGTAGAGCATAAAGTGATGATATCATGGACTCTTGACACCTTTTTAGAAGGAACCTGTCAGCTTCAATTTCAAGTTACTCATATAATGCAGACAATGCTTCCCTGGAGCCCGCAATGTGGCCGTGTTCAATGAAGCTCCCTTTTGGGTTGAATGAATTACAAGATTAGAACAATTTAATTTAACAATTAATACAAATTAATTTTGTATTAGAACAAATCTGTAAAGGAATTTCGTAAATATGAGCCAAACACTGCCACCAATATATTGTCGAAGGCTTTCATGGCCGGAATGACTGGGTTGTTGTAGGTTTTTTCGGGCTGCATGGCCATGATCTAGAGGCATTTTCTCCTGACGTTTCGCCTGCGTCTATGGCAAGCATCCTCAGAGGTAGTGAGGTCTATTGGAACTAGGAAAGTGGGTTTATATATCCCTGGAATGACCAGGGTGGGACAAAGAACTCTTGTCTGTTGGAGCTAGGTGTGAATGTCTCAACTGACCACTTTGATTAGCATTTGATGGCCTGGCAGTGCTTGGAGCAATCTTTTGTTGAGAGGTGATTAGATGTGCCTGATTGTTTCTCCTCTTGTTTTGCTGTTGTAATTTTAGAGTTTTTTATTTGAGCTATTTGAGAACACAGAAATGCTGGACCACTCTAACAACCATATGTCAGACAACACAGAGAAGCCACTGAAATCCACAAGCGTGTGGACAATTTCAACAGAAAGAAGGAAACCATGAAGATGAACCAAATCTGGCTAACAGTATTAAAAAAAACCTCTAAAATTACAACAGCAAAACAACAGAGAGGAAACAAACAAGGACATCTAATCACCTCTCAACAAAAGGTTGTCCCAAGCACTAAGAAGCCACACCAAACAACAGCCAGGCCATCAAATGCTAATCAAGGTGGTCAGTTGAAACATTCACACCTAGCTCCAGCAGACAAGAGTTCTTTGCCCCACCCTGGTCATTCCACAGATATATAAACCCACTTTCCTAGTTCCAACAGACCTCACTACCTCTGCTGATGCTTGCCATAGATGCAGGCAAAACGTCAGGAGAAAATGCCTCTAGAACATGGCCATATAGCCGGAAAAAACCCTACAACAACCCTCTGCCACCAATATTACGATCAAGAAGCGCAGGCACAGTGTATGTAGCCTCCTATTGCAAGGCCCAATTGCTTGAAACTACCTCGTAGTCCTGAAAAACGGGAAGTCCCTTTGGCTGAGAATGGCTGCCCTTCTCTTGTCACTTTGGTTCAGTATATCTTCTGATCTGCAGAATCTGATCTGATTTCTTCTGTCACCATGACTAAGTAGCATTGATTTTTGAAAAGATACTTTCCTGGGGCGGTGCATGGCATTAATTTGATGGAATTCAGGTGGGACGTTGAAAACGTTTGCTTGGCAACGTGGGTCCCTTTTCTTCTTGTGGCCGGATAGTCTGGGAGCAAAAAGACCAGAAAGTCTATGCCCAGCTATAATTATGTGTAAGTCTTCCTGTTTTAATAATTTCTATGGCAAGAGTGGGCAGCTATGGAAGCTTTAGGGGTCACAATCACCCCATTTTTGGCTCTCTAACATCTCTATGTGGTGGCGTTAAAGTACTGAGTGCAGTGGGTTAAACCGCTGAGCTGCTGAGCTTGTTGACCAAAAGGTTGCAGGTTCGATTCCGGGGAGCGGCGTGAACTTCCGCTGTCAGCCCCAGTTTCTGCCAACCTAGCAGTTCGAAAACATGCAAATGTAAGTAGATCAATAGGTACCACTCCAGCAGGAAGGTAACAATGCTCCATGCAGTCATGACTGTGTGATGTATCGGGCAAGTAATGCATGCTGATCCCAGTAGGGTGGCCTTTTGTAGCTGGCAGATGGTAATTTTGTCAGCGCTGATTGTTTTTAAGTGCAAGCCAAGGTCTTTAGGCACTGCACCCAGTGTGCCAATCACCACTGGGACCACCTTGACTGACTTATGCCAGGGCCACATGGATACACATAACCCACAGATTGATATGAGAATGCAGGGCTGTCTGAGTCTCAGATGTAGGTCTTGACATATCTGCCGGCCATTGGTCCTTGGGTGTTGTCATCATTAGATCAGGTTCGGGTTTTGCCAAGCAGCAAGAAATGCTGACCCTGAGGCCCGCCTAGAGCTCTGAAATAAATAAAGAGAAGCATTTTCTATGACTCTCCCTTCCAGAGTGCGTCAGGGATGCAAGGCAAGGGAATGAGGAGGCATCTTGGCAGGAGGCCCTCCGGTCTGGAGACCAATTTCAGATTCTGCTGGCATTAGCATTAAGCAGGCCTCCAGCTGGCGGAGAGTCACGGGAAAAGAGAGCGGAGACTGGCATCCTTGTGGGGAAATCTGCTTATTCTCTGTATATTTTCAGATTTATATTTATAATGAGAAGATCGTCAACGGGCACCTGCAGCCCAACCTTGTGGACCTGTGTGCTACTGTCGCCGAACTGGATGATAAGGTACAGCCTTTAGATAAACATGAGGTAGCCGTTTTGTGTGTGATGTATATATGATATGTGGTTTGAATGAAATTGTATAAAAGGTATATGATTGGGGCCTATATAGCCAACCCCTGGTGGCTCAGTGGGTTAAACCCCTGTGCCGGCAGGACTGAAGACCTACAGGTCGCAGGTTCGAATCCGGGGAGAGGCGGATGAGCTCCCTCTATCAGCTCCAGCTCTTCATGCGGGGACATGAGAGAAGCCTCCCACAGGGATGATAAAAACATCAAATCATCCAGGCGTCCCCTGGGCAACGTCCTTGCAGACAGCCAATTCTCTAACACCAGAAGCAACTTTCTCCTGACACGACAAATATATATATATATATATATATATATATATATATATATAGCCAACCTAAGAAATGAGGCCTGAAAAACTACAAAAGGAGAATTCATGAACTGATGAACTGTAATTAACAGTTCCTGATGAGAACTGCTGACATGGATGACCAGAGACTATAATTAACTCTTGGTGGAAAACAACATGTTTACATTACCAGAGACAATGGTTCTTTTAAGTTCTGGGTGAGAAGGGCGGCATATAAATGTTGTAAATAAATAAATAAATAAATAAATAAATAACAGTTCAATATGTAGTAACATTATTTAGTAAATATTGTATTTACCAATTTATTTATTTATTTATTTACAACATTTAATATTTATTTATTTGATCAGTCATACGACCATTTCAAAATAGAACACGAGTAAAAAATATTTATATGCCGTCCTTCTCACCCCGAAGGGGACTCAGAGCAGCTTACAAGATATATATATATATATATATTCCACCAAGAGTTAATTTTATATATATATATATATACACACACACACACACACACACACACACACACACACACACACACACACACATACCGTATATACTCCAGTATAAGCCGACCCGAGTATTAGCCGAGGCACCTAATTTTGCCACAAAAAACTGAGAAAACAGATTGACTCAAGTAAAAGCCAAGGGTGGGAAATGCAGCAGCTACTGGTAAATTGCAAGATAAAAATAGATACCAATTAAATTACATTAATTAAATATTTTTGAATATTTACAAAAATGTTATATATTTTTGAATATTTACAAAAATGGTAATTTAAGATAAGACTGTCCAACTCTGATTAAATGATTATTTACCTTCTTCAATGTAAATGTGCTTACGTAACCTTCCAATAATAATAAAGAGAGCAACATAACAAATGTAATAATAATAATAATAATAATAATAATAATAATAATAAAAGAGTAAAGTAATGAATGTAGCAATAACAATTATACAGTAAAATAATAAATGTATAATAATAGAGTAAAATGATAAATGTAATAGTAGTAAATAGAATAAAATAATAAATGAAATAATAATAATAATAATAATAATAATAATAATAATAATAACAACAACAATCGAGTAAAATAATAAATAACCTTGACTCAAGTATAAGCCAAGGGGGACTTTTTCAGCCTAAAAAAAGGGCTGAAAAACTAGGCTTATACTCGAGTATATACAGTATATACATATATACATACAATATATTACATTATTAGCATAGCACAATATCAGTATTATATATTACTATATTGTACTATGGAGCCCCCGGTGGCGCAGTGGGTTAAAGCACTGAGCTGCTGAGCTTGTTGATAAAAAAGGTCGCAGGTTCGATTCCGGGGAGCGGCGTGAGCTTCCGCTGTCAGCCCTAGCTTCTGACAACCTAGCAGTTCGAAAACATGCAAATGTGAGTAGATCAATAGGTACCGCTCCGGCGGGAAGGTAACGGCGCTCCATGCAGTCGTGCTGGCCACATGACCTTGGAAGTGTCTACGGACAACGCTGGCTCTTCGGCTTAGAAATGGAGCTGAGCACCACACCCCAGAGTCAGACATGACTGGACTTAATGTCAGGGGACTACCTTTACCTTTTATATTGTACTATATATACCATTATACTGTAATATTATTGGTACTATTACATGTAATATAAAATATATAATTATCACTTATTTATTTATTTATTTATTTACAACGTTTATATGCTGCCCTTCTCACCCCAAGCGCTTTGCAAGATATATTCTCATAAAATATATTATATTATTAGCATAGTACAATATCAGTATTATATATTTCTATATTGCACTATACCATTATATTGTAATATTATTAGTAATATTACATGTAATGAGATTATATAATTATATAATCATATAAATATATATAATTATAATTATCGTATTGTATTATTATTACTAGTATTATATTGTATTACATTATAATATTATAAATATTATATGTATATACAATGTACTATATTATATTATTAGTAAAGACAAGATGGAACTGTCTTCTGCTCCCCTCTGCCTTCACTCTGGCCAGAGCAGCAGTTGGTGCCAGAGGGGGGAGAGGCAATTTTTAACGTTTAATATATTAATTATAATATTGTATTATTATTATATTGTATTACATTATAATATTATAAACATTATATGTATATACAATATATTATATTATATTTTTCTGTTGATTGGTTGTAAAACATGATGATTTAGTGCTTAATTTGTAAAATCATAACAAAAATATACGTTGAATAGGCTTTTCCTTAATCCCTCCTTAATATCCAACATTTCCGCTTATCCAATGTTTTGCTGGCTTGTTTATGTTGGATAAGCAAGACTTGGCACCAAAACATCGCAATGTATTGAAACAGCTGTGAATCCTGGTGAAAGACAGACTGCGTTGGATAATACAGAATGTTGGATGAGGGAAGGTTGGATAATTGAGACTCTACTATAATAATAATAATAATAATAATAATAATAATAATAATAAATATTTTAATAATATTAAAAATGCAATACAACTGTTTGGTTTGTTCCTGACATGATAAATAATAATAATAATAATAATAATAATAATAATAATAATAATAATAATAATAATTTATCATGTCAGGAGCAAACCAAACAGTTGTATTGCATTTTTAATATTATTAAAATATTTATTATTATTATTATTATTATTATTTTTTTTTTTTATAATTTTTATTAAGAGCTTTTCCATAATTACAAAACATTCATATCTTAATACATATAGGTTGCAGTAGAAATGTTAAATCAAGACATCAATCCTTTTACATTTCTCTTTTACATTTTTACATTTCTCTTTTAAGGTTTCCCGCCATTAAAGCATTTTTACCTTCATATAAACTTAAATGACAATTCTATGTATATTTCAATCTCTACTGAGATCCACCTATAGCATACCGAAGAAAAAAGAAAAAAAAAAAAAAAAAAAAAAAAGGTCCGGGTAGGATCGAGGGGGATGGGAAAGGGAATGGGAAAGGTAGTGAGGGGATAATCGGATGTGAACAGAAACTTACACCAACATACACTCTTTGGACTTCCCAAAGTCTTGGGGGTAATTACATCCTTGTATATTCTTATCAGATATTACCTAATCTTAATTGCGGCCGTCAACATACAACAAATCTCATACAATTAACTTTCTCTTTTCTTTAAGAAAGAATCTAAGTGGATACCAATCTACTCTTTTCTTTGTATTTATATTATAAATCAAATTTGATAACGAATCTAACTCCATAAAGTCCTTTATCTTATATAACCATGCCTCCAATGATGGCACTTCCCTCACTTTCCATTTATTCGCTATTACAGTTCTTGCAGCTGCTGATAGATGGAATAACAAGCTCTCTTTGTTTTTCTCCATCTTAAAGTCCAATAAGTGCAGGAGATAGTATTCCGCCTTTAATTCAAACTGTATTTGCAGGATCCCTTGTATGTTTCGATGGACCTCCTTCCAGAAGGTTTTGACTTTTTTACAATCCCACCAGCAGTGTATAAATGTACCTAACTTGGTACCACATTTCCAACATAAATTGCTTGCCCCGTTATTATTATTTATCGTTTCAGGAGCAAACCAAACAGTTGTATTGCATTTTTAACAAACAAACAAAACACAAAGTTTGCAAGCTTGGTAGTTGATTAAATGTCCTTTGACCAGTAGCTGGTCAATAATAATAATACTTACTTACTTAGGCGATCCCTCGTTTTCCGAGGATGATGTCTTCCAGTGTTCTTGTGGGTCCGTATGTGGCTGTGGAGCCCTATTCTTGACCTGCATCTTCTTCCGCAGTGAGGGCATTGGTTTCCAGGTGGAAGGCGGTCTCGCTCGGGGTTGGCTTGACACGCCTTCCTCTTGGCACGTTTCTCTCTTTCACCCTCCATTCATGCCTCTTCAAATTCTGCAGCACTGCTGGTCACAGATGACTCCCAGCTGGAGCGGTCAAGGGCCAGGGCTTCCCAGTTCTCAGTGTCTATGCCAGAGTTTTTAAGGTTGGCTTTGAGACCATCTTTAAATCTCTTTTCCTGTCCACCAACATTCTGTTTCCCGTTCTTGAGTTCGGAGTACAGTAACTGCTTTGGGAGACGGTGGTCGGGCATCCGGACAACGTGGCTGGTCCAGCGGAGTTGATGGCAGAGGACCATCGCTTCAATGCTGGTGGTCTTTACTTCTTCCAGCACGCTGACATTTGTCCGCCTGTCTTCCCAAGAGATTTGCAGGATTTTCCGGAGGCAGCGCTGATGGAATCGTTCCAGGAGTTGCATGTGACATCTGTAGACAGTCCACGTCTCACAGGCATATAGCAGGGTTGGGAGGACAATAGCTCTATAAACAAGCACCTTGGTCTCCCTACGGATGTCCCTACAGACGTCTTCCTAATAATAATAATAATAATAATAATAATAATAATAATAATAATGTTACTGTCTTTAATGTCACCTATCAATAAAAATCATTTATAAATAATAATAATAATAATAATAATAATAATAATAATAGCAGCAACAACAACATTCCCTTTCCCCTGTCCCTTCCTAATCCTTATAGTTTTCCATCGCCTCAAACTGCCAACTACTGGGCAGTTGCTACTAATAAGGGCCCCTTCCACACAGCTGTCTAAAATTCACACTGAACTGGATTATATGTCAGTGTGGACTCAAATAATCCAGTTCAAGGCAGATACTGTGAATTATCTGCTTTGATATTTTGGGTTATATGGCTGTATGGAAGAGCCCAAGGACTCTTAAACCTATCTACCAGGAGGCAAGACCCTACTCTGCACAGTATCCTGCTGGAAGGGCACCAGCAGCTGAAAAATAACTATATTTTATATCACTAGAAACATTCAAAAAGAATCTTAAAACCTGGCTCTTCCGCTGCGCCTTTGGTGAGTAGGTGCACACCATGACATTTTATTATTATATTTCTTTCCCTGCAGGTTGGAAAGAAATAATTTATCTATATTTTAAAAGCCATCTAATGAGGAGAAGTCAGTTATATCTTCTTGCAGTAACTTTTTCGATCCCCATGACCTGGTTTCTTTTGCAGAACATTTCTGACTTGTGGGCCATGGTGAAGCAAATGACCGACGTCCTCTTGGTTCCTGCAAGCAATGCGTTGAAAGTCCGCACAAGCATGGAGGTCCAGATGGACTTTGTGAAGCAGGCCCTCCAATACCTGGAGCAAAGGTGGGTCAGTCAAGTAATCACGGTCTGGGAATTCTCCTATACTACTTTAGTGGTGCAAATTGCCCATGGAGAGAATAGTGGTCGGTCAGCTGTTTGCTAGCCGCAAGACTTCACTGATATTTCTCAAGACTTGACTAACATTGGTAAATGACATGGTAGCCATGGCTAGCACTGTGGGTTAAACTGCCAGCTACAGAAGATGATGATGATGATGATAATAATAATAATAATAATAATAATAATAATAATAATAATAATAATTTTATTTCTCGGGTCAGGGCAGCCAGTCAATTATATTACATTTCTAACAGAACAAAGCAAGCAAACAGACAAAATACAACATTTGTGAGTTTGGTAGTTGATTAAATGTCCTTTGACCAGTATCTGGCCACTTAGAGTGCTTCTGGTGTTGCCGCAAGAAGGTCCTCCCTGGTGCATGTGGCAGGGCTCAGGGTGCATTGCAGCAGGTGGTCAGTGGTTTGCTCTTCTCCACACTCGCATGTCGAGGATTCCACTTTGTGGCCCCATTTCTGAAGGCTGGCTCTGCATCTCGTGGTGCCAGAGCACAGTCTGTTCAGCGCCTTCCAAGTCGCCCAGTCTTCTGAGTGCCCAGGGGGGAGTCTCTCATTTGGTATCAGCCATTGGTTGAGGTTCTGGGTTTGAGCCTGCCACTTTTGGACTCTCGCTTGCTGAGGTGTTCCAGCGAGTGTCTCTGTAGATCTTAGAAAACTATGTCTGGATTTAAGTCGTTGACGTGCTGGCTGATACACAAAGAGGGGATGAGCTGGAGATGTCTCTGCCTTGGTCCTTTCACTATTGGCTGCCACTTCCCAGCAGATGTCAGGTGGTGCGATACCAGCTAGACAGTGTAATTTCTCCAGTGGTGTAGGGCGCAGACACCCCGTGATAATGCGGCATGTCTCATTAAGAGCCACATCCACTGTTTTAGTGTGGTGAGATGTGTTCCACACTGGGCATGCATACTCAGCAGCAGAGTAGCATAGCGCAAGGGCAGATGTCTTCACTGTATCTGATTGTGATCCCCAGGTTGTGCCAGTCAGCTTTTGTATGATATTGTTTCTAGCACCCACTTTTTGCTTGATGTTCAGGCAGTGCTTCTTGTAGGTCAGAGCACGGTCCAGAGTGACTCCCAGGTATTTGGGTGCGCTGCAATGCTCCAGTGGGATTCCTTCCCAGGTGATCTTCAGAGCTCGGGATGCTTCTCTGTTCTTGAGATGAAAGGCACATGTCTGTGTTTTAGATGGGTTGGGGATCAGCTGGTTTTCCCTGTAATAGGCAGTAAGAGCACCTAGAGCTTCGGAAAGCTTCTGTTCTACCATCTCAAAGCTCCTTGCTTGAGCAGTAATGGCACGGTCATATAATAATAACAACAACAACAACAAAAAGCCCTAAACAGTTCTGGCCCGATCTGCCTGTCCGAACGCATCTCCTCCTATTAACCAGTTAGGAGATTAAGATCGTCTGGGGAGGCCCTGCTCTCGATCCCGCCGGCTTCACAAGCATGCCTGGCGGGGACGAGAGACAGGGCCTTCTCAGTGGTGGCCCCTCGGCTGTGGAACGCCCTTCCTGCAGATATCAGATTGGCCCCCTCCTTGCGGGCATTCCGGAGGAAAGTGAAGACCTGGCTGTTTGAACAGGCATTTGACTAGGCAGTGTGATTGATTGATTATTGGAACACGGAATAACGGATAACGAGTTTGGATTCTGATTTCATTGATGAGACCTGATGGATTTGTTATATTGATATACTGATGTATTGATGCTGATGTTTCATGATTTGAATGCTATTGCTTTTAAATGCTTGATTTTGTATTGTGTACACTGAAATTGTTGTTAACCGCTCTGTGTCGCCTAAGGGCTGAGAAGAGCGGTATACAAATAAAGTAAATAAAATAAATAAATAAACAACAACAACAATAATTTTATTTATACCCCGCCACCATCTCCCCAACGGGGACTCAGGGCGGCTTACATGAGGCCAAGCCCGTATAACAAATTACAATAAAATAAGATACAAGTTACCATAAAATAAACAACATTGCAGAAAAATACAGAACATATGACTACAATAAACAAAATCCAAAAAAAAGCAGTAAACCAAACATAATGACAGTGAGCGGGCCGCATGTACATAAAATGATTTAAAAACTCAGGGTGAGGTAAAGAAGCAGAATTATTTGTGAGTGAGATCTTGCTGACAAGAAGGTTGGCAGTTCAAGCTGCGGGTTGGGGTGAGCTCCCGCCGTCAACCCTAGCTTTTGCTTACCTAGCAGATTGAAAAACAGCAACGTGAGTAGATAAATAGGTACCACTTTGGTGGAGAGGTAAAAGATGCCACTGAAGACATGCCAGTGCCTGGATCAGGAGGGCATTTATCGACAACAGGCTTCTAGGCATGGAAAAATGAAACAACAGCACCTCCCCGTGGCCGAGTCAAGCACAGCCTACAGTTGCCGGAGATGAAAAAGAGGGAAGCCTTGCCTCTGTCTGTGTACTGTCTGTCTTTGTAGTCAGCTGTATAACGGGATTGAATGTTTGCCATATATGTACCCTGTAATCTGCTCTGAGTCCCCTTGGGGAGATAGAGTGGAACAAAAACAAAATATATTATTATTATTATTATTATTATTATTATTATTATTATTATTATTAGAAACACAACAAGATGAGTCCACAGCAGTCACTCTGCTGGCTGTTGAATTGGATCACACGTCGGACACTTCCCAAATGTCTAGGACTGTGTGATGTATCGGCGAATAATGCCTGCAGATCCCAGTAAGGTGGCCTTCTGCAGCTGGCAGATGGTAATTTTGTCAGCGCCAATTGTGTTTAAGTGCAGGCCAAGGTCTTTAGGCACTGCACCCAGTGTGCCAATCACCACTGGGACCACTTTGACTGGTTTGTGCCAGAGTCTTTGCATTTATTATTATTATTATTAAGAATGATGTTTAATACTGTTTTAATATTTGCATATTTTAAACTGTGTTGTAATGCTTTTATTGTTAGCCGCTTTAAGTCTCTTTGTGGAGAGAAAAAGTGAGATATAAACAAACATAATAGTAATGATAATATTTTAAGATTATTTCATAATTAAGAGCTCCCAGCGCTGCAGTGGGTTAAACCGCTGAGCTGATGAACATACTGTCCGGAAGGTTGGCGGTTCAAATCTGGGAAGGGGGGTGAGCTCCCTCTGTTAGCCCCAGCTTTTGCCAACCTAGCAGTTCGAAAACATGCAAATGTGAGTAGATCAGTTGGTACCACTCTAGCGGGAAGGTACCGACGCTCCATGTAGTCATTTATTTATTTATTTATTTACTTTATTTGTATACCGCTCTTCTCAGCCATTAGGCAACTCAAAGCGGTTAACAACAAGCAGCGGCAAAAATTCAATGCAAACATCATACAGCCATTTAAAAAAACAATTAACCCAATAATACACTAAGCAATTAACATCAATAACCATCAATAAACAACTCACTAGCATCTCATAACTAAAATCATAATCCAAGCTCGTCATCCGTTGTTCCGATTTCCTGTAATTCATTGTAATTCATTGCACTGCCTATTCAAACGCCTGTTCAAATAACCAGGTTTTCACTTTCTTCCGAAATGCCATTAATGATGGAGCTGATCTGATGTCTGTGGGTAGGGCGTTCCACAGCCGAGGGGCCACCACCGAGAAGGCCCTCGTTCCCGCCAACCGTGCCTGAGTTGCAGGCGGGATCGAGAGCAGGGCCTCCCCAGAAGATCTTAAAGTCCTAGTGGGTTCATAGGCGGAGATGCATTCGGATAGGTAGTCATGTTGGCCACATAATCTGGGTGTCTACGGACAACGCCGGCTCTTTGGTTTAGAAATGGAGATGAGCACCCCCCCCCCCCAGAGTTGGACATGACTAGACTTAATGTCAGGGGAAAACCTTTACCTTTACCTAAAGTACCTGTTTCCGTTGAAATTACTTGAAGGCACCAGTGACATCAATTTAGTTCAATTCCTCCCTGTTGACTGATGTTTTGGTTTTTACCTGTTTATTATTGTGTGTTCTGATATTTTTTAAAAAATTCATATGTTTTGCAATACTTTTGCAATTGCAGGTGTTTAAATGCCATCCCTGTTATATTTTCAACAAACAAAACTCTTCTTAGATGTATACATGTTATTTAAACAGTTGGATTATATTCCTGAATCCAAATCAGCACTGTGTGGTTTCTTGCAGTTACAAGAACTACACCTTGGTGATGGTCTTTGGAAACCTGCAGCAGGCCCAGCTGGGAGGAGTGCCTGGGACCTACCAGTTGGTCCGTAGCTTCCTGAACATCAAACTCCCAGTGTCCGTTCCAGGACTTCAGGTAGGCGCAGCCAGGAGAGAAACGTTCCTGGCATTGGCCTCTTCCCCCTTCTGATGTCTAATGTGCAAAAACAGAGTCTTGGAAAGGAAGTCACCGGGATTGTGGCGCAGCTGGCTGGGAGTCAACTGCATTAAGATCACTACTGACCAAAAGGTCATGAGTTCGAAGCCAACCCGGGTCAGAGTGAGCTTCCGACCAATTTGTGTAGCTGTCACAACTCAGGATAGATTCACCTTGCTCAAGACACCACCACACACCAAGGCTTGTAGTTTATTGAGAAAAAGCAAAATCTAAACAGAGAAATAACGAGGTAAAGTTCAATAGGCAAAACAGAGTCTTAAATGGAAAGGCAAAGTATCCAGGTTCCAAAGGCAAATAACACGAAGCATAGTCCTTTAACATTGGTTAAACAAGAGTCCATGGCAGCAAGACAGAGTCTCCAAAAATCAGGATCAAAGTCCCAAAGAGCCAAAAGCTATCCGCAAAAGCCAAGTTAAATCCACAGAAGTTAACAGGGTAAAAGCAACATTGGACTGACAGAGAATGCCCTTCGACCAGATAATTAAATAAGTTTCCCCAACATGAAAGCATTACATTGACCTCTAGCTTCATGCTTGTTGGCAAGGCGTGCGCTTCTTCGAACTCTTAATTGCAAACGGTCCTCTCTAATCAAATCTCTACTATCTTTTTCAAGGCCAGTTAGCTCATTGTCTTCGCCCTGCTGGGCCTGGTCACCCTAGGAAACAAGAGGCCCGGAGCTCCCAGGAGGAGCCTCCACCTGGAGCTCTGAAGTTTCACTATTTATTTACTTTACTTGTATACCGCACTCTCTCAGCCCATAAGCAACTCAGTGCGGTTTATCTATCTTTATCTAAAGCCACATTCTTTTCTCTGGGGAACAGAAATGCAGTCTCTTCTTCAGAATCAACACTGACTGCTTCAACTGCCTCACTAACCAGAACATGTTCAGAAATCTGTAACCCATCATCCTCCTTGTCCTGAGGAAACCCAGGTTCAGAAAGCTCAGGCTCAGACTGAACCACAACAGTAGCTTGCTATTGACCTTTGCAGCCTGAAAGACAGGAAATTTAGGTACCACTTATACGGGCGAATTTATGACACCATAAAAATCTCCAGCAAGTATGCAAAGAATGACGAAGTACTTCATCAGTGTCACAAATGGACAGTGAAGCGACAGCTCCCCTGGTGGTCAGAATATCCTCATGAAAAAGCTGGAATGTTAAATAACCTCTGTGTGTCTGTCTATATATGTTGTGTGTCTATGGCATTGAATGTTTGCCATGTATATGTACATTGTAATCCGCCCTGAGTCCCCTGCGGGGTGAGAAGGGCGGAATATAAATACTGTAAATAAATAAATAAATAAAAACCGAGAGGACAAAAATATTTACCCATATTTACTCGAGTCTAATGTGCCATCAAATCAGATGTGCACCTCAGTTTTCACAATCCTGAAACCAAAGAGTATTTGCTGCCGAATATAATGCACAGCGGCAAAAAGTACACTTGCTAAATAATAAATAAATAAATTAATCCTTGCACATAGGAAACCAGATTGGAACCGTTCTCCCGAAACTTGTGTTTCCCAGGGATATTTGAGCCAGAAGGGCATACAGTTATTTGAACGTCCACAATCAGTTTTTTTCCTGCTTTCCTTTTCAGGACGGGGAAGTGGAAGGCCATCCTGTTTGGGCGCTCATCTACTACTGCATGCGCTGCGGGGACCTGATGGCCGCCTTGCAAGTGGTGAACCGAGCCCAGCACCAACTGGGAGAATTTAAAAGTTGGTTCCAGGAATACATGCACAACAAAGATCGAAGGTATTGGGGTCCTTCCAGGACAGGAAAAGCCCTCTGACTTTAAACACCACACGTAGAATAGGAAAACAAACCTTTTATTGGAGAGCAAAGTAAAAAGCACTTTAAAGAAATTGGTAAATCCAATTAGGTAAGAAGATAAGCAGGAACAAAATAATCCAGGGTAAAGTTCAGCAAAGTCAATGAAAACAAAGTCCACACTTCTCTATTAAAATCCAGAAAACCAGGAAACATTAATCCAAGGCATGAGTATGCAATCTTAAATCCAAGAATCCATGAAACAAAAAATACTTAAGCATGAATCTTCCCAGTAGGGCTTCCATGAAACAAGGATGAGAACTTAACTTGATTCCAAATGATGCTTCATCTGACTACATTTCCTGTACTTGAGGCATTTATTCCCTCATTAAGCAATCCGAAGCACTCAGAAATTGGTTTCGCTTTAGTTGAGATTCCCTTATCTTTTTCTGTTGGAGCTTGACAGAATGCCAAAGACACTGTTTGGCGTGCCTGTTTTGACTAATCTCCTGCCGTCTTATCTATTTGCTCATTAACTTTTGCAGCTGGGCCAGGTGCCGAGTTGTTTTCAAGCCCCAAATCCCGGGAACTCTCTGGTAGACCTCAGAAACCGGTTTTGCTTTAATTGAGATTCCCTTATCTTTTTCTGTCGGAGCCTGGCAGAACGCCGAAGCCACTGTTCGGCTTGTCTGTTTTGCCTAATCTCCTGCCATCTATCTATTTGCTCATTAACTTTTGCAGCTGGGCCAGGTGCCGAGTTGTTTTCAAGCCCCAAATCCTGGGAACTCCCTGGTAGCAATTCAGGGAGTACACAATCATCCCCACAACCTTCAGGGACATTCTCATGGGGAACTACATTTTGAACAGGGATCTCCTGGTCATTCTCTGCATCAATATCATTGACTAAACCATTGCCATCTTGAAACTCATTGATTCACTCCCAACATCCAAAGCACCCTGATCCTGAAACATAATCACAGGCTGAGCTCCAACACAGAACACGCAAAATTGTGGAGAGAAAGGGCTTTCCCAATGGGTTAACGCAGTGGCTCTCAATGTTTTCTTCACCACGGACCACCTTTTAAATCCCTTCTTATTCACAGTATGTAGCAATCCTTCGTGTTTTGATATTGTTGCTTCCTATTTACTGCAGGCTGTCTCCAGCCACCGAGAACAAAGTCCGCCTGCATTACAGACGTGCCCTGAGGAACAACACCGACCCTTACAAAAGAGCTGTTTACTGCATCCTGGGCCGATGCGACATCGCTGACAGCCACAGCGAAGTGGCAGACAAGATAGAAGATTATCTGTGGCTCAAGGTGAGGACGGCAACCCTAAACTTGGAAAGAAATGACACTGCTCATTGGTTGATCTTCTTTTGTGTGCCCATTATATGTTCAAAAACACAACAAACTTGGTTTTGCAAATATGGCTTCTAGCTAAAGCTTAGACTTGATTTGGCCCTTTTATTTCTCTTTGGTGGCTACTCCATCCCTAAAACTCCTACAGAACCACATTCCAAATTACGAGGGGTATTTTTTAAGTAAGGTCCGTTTTATTGTAGACACTAGTAATTCGCGTGCATACCGCAACGAGCGCGTGCGTCGTGTACCGGCATGCCTCGGGAACAACTGTGCTCGGTTTCCGCTCTGTAGCTCACCTGTACGGTTCTGTTCTATGCTTTAAAAATGTTTAAGACTAACAACTCACCCTCCGCATGTGAGGTTCGCTCAGTGATACGGTTTTTGTCAGCAAGGAACCTGCCTGTTGCAGAAATTCATCGACAGATTTGTGAAGTGTACGGTGTTACTGTTATGAGTGAAAGCAAAGTGTGTAAGTGTGTACGACAATTCAAAGATGGCCGTGATAACATCCATGATGAGGAGCGCTCCGGTCGCCCTTCTTTCATTACAGACGATTTGGTGGCTTCAGTTGAAGCGAGGATTCGTGAGAACAGGCGCTTCACAATAACAGGTCTCTCAAACGAATTTCTTGATGTGTCGAGATCAGTGCTTTACGACATTGTTTCTGAACACCTAAAGTTTAGGAAACTGTGCTCCCGTTGGGTCCCGAAACTCCTAACAGAGGACCACAAAAACCAAAGATTTGAGTGTGCGATCAAATCAAATCGTCTGCAATCAAAGAAGGGCGACCGGAGTGAACTACTAGTGTCTACAACAAAATTGACCTTACTATAAAAATACCCCTTGTAGTTGATATTACATATCTGACAACATTATATACGGTTCTGGCCTAGCTTACTTATCCAAACGCATCTGCCCCTACGTCCGGGGAGGCCCTGCTCTGGGTCCCATCAATAGCGCAAATGCGGCTGGCGGGGATGAGGAGCAGGGCCTTTTCGGCTGTGGCCCCCCACCTATGGAACACACTCCCAAAGGAGGTAAGATCTGCTCCCTCGCTCCTGACCTTTAGAAAAAATTAAAATCATGATTCTGGGACCAGGCCTTCGGACAATAGACGTATGCAGCTTTTAGTGGGACAAGGACTGGAACTCCAACTTGACTGATGAGATTGTTTTATAGTTTTAATAACTTTTGATATTTGGTAATATACTGTTTTGAATATGATTTATGTTTAAAGTGTGGTTTTATTACTGTAGTTGTAAGGCATCGAATTTTTGCCATTATTTATGTGTAAACCGCTTTGAGTCCCCCTAGGGGTGAGAAAAGCGGTATATACTGTATATATTCGAGTATAAGCCAACCCAAATATAAGCCAAGGCACCTAATTTTACCACAAAAACTGGGAAAACTTATTGACTCGAGTATAAGCCAAGGGTGAGAAATGCAGCCGCTACTGGTCAATTTCAAAATAAAAATAGATATCAATAAAATTACATTAATTGAGGCATCAGTAGATTAAATGTTCTTGAATATTTACATAAAACTGTAATTTAAGATAAGACTGTCCAGCTCTGATTAAATCATTATTCTAATCTTCAGTGTAAATGTGCTTATTATTTTATTTATTTATCGAGTCATCAGCAACCAGTCAATTATATTACATTTCTTACAGAACAAAGCAAACATACAGACAAAATATAAAAATACAAAATACAGAATACAAAATTTGTGAGTTTGGTAGTTGATTAAATGTCCTTTGACCAGTATCTGGCCACTTGGAGTGCCTCTGGTGTTGCCGCAAGAAGGTCCTCCATTGTGCATGTGGCGGGGCTCAGGTTGCATTGCAGCAGGTGGTCCGTGGTTTGCTTCTCTCCACACTCGCATGTTGAGGATTCCACTTTGTAGCCCCATTTCTTGAGGTTGGCTCTGCATCTCATGGTGCCAGAGCGCAGTCTGTCCAGCGCCTTCCAAATTGCCCAGTCCTCTGTGTGCCCAGGGGGGAGTCTCTCATTTGGTATCAGCCACTGGTTGAGGTTCTGGGTTTGAGCCTGCCAATTTTGGACACTCGCTTGCTGAGGTGTTCCAGCAAGTGTCTCTGTAAATCTTAGAAAACTATTTCTAGATTTAAGTAGTTGACGTGCTGGCTGATACTCAAACAGGGGATGAGCTGGAGATGTCTCTGCCTTGGTCCTTTCACTATTGGCTGCTACTTCCCAGCAGATGTCAGGTGGTGCAATACCAGCTAAGCAGTGTAATTTCTCCAGTGGTGTAGGGCGCAGACACCCCGTGATAATGCGGCATGTCTCATTAAGAGCCACATCCACTGTTTTAGTGTGGTGAGATGTGTTCCACACTGGGCATGCATACTCAGCAGCAGAGTAGCACAGTGCAAGGGCAGATGTCCTCACTGTATCTGGTTGTGATCCCCAGGTTGTGCCAGTCATCTTTCGTATGATATTGTTTCTAGCACCCACTTTTTGCCTAATGTTCAGGCAGTGCTTCTTGTAGGTCAGAGCACGGTCCAGAGTGACTCCCAGGTATTTGGGTGTGCTGCAATGCTCCAGTGGGATTCCTTCTCAGGTCATCCTCAGAGCTCGGGATGCTTGTCTGTTCTTGAGATGAAAAGCACATGTCTGTGTTTTAGATGAGTTGGGGATCAGCTGGTTTTCCCTTTAATAGACAGTAAGAGCACCTAGAGCTTTGGAGAGCTTCTGTTCAACCATCTCAAAGCTTAAATATGTTGTAAGCCGCTTATTTGGGTCCCTGTGTTGGAGAAAAGCGGGATACAAATAGAGATGATGATGATGATGATGATGATGATGATGATGATGATGATGATGATGATTATTATTATTATTATTATTATCTTGATTAGGACTGTAAACTTGTACAGGATGTGGTAGACTACCAATGTTTTCTCCACCTTATATTTAGCTGAACCAGGTGTGCTTTGATGACGACGGCTCCAACGCACCGCAGGACCGGTTGACTTTGTCCCAGTTCCAGAAACAACTACTTGAAGACTATGGCAAGTTCACCCAGGAATGGGATTTCATGTTTGTCTGTGTGTTTTTTATCAGCTACTTCTTCCGATGAGATGAAGACAGTGCCTGGAGTATCATAACACTTGGATCCTTTTACTGATACTGTCCAATTAAACTAACCTATCTATATAAATAAAAAAGTAATGTTTGTTTGTGGGATTAACAGAACTCAAAAACCACTGGACGAATTGACACCAAATTTGGACACAAGACACCTAACAACCCAATGTATGCCCTTCACTCAAAAAATTGATTTTGTCATTTGGGAGTTGTAGTTGCTGGGATTTATAGTTCACCTACAATGAAAGAACATTCTGAACCCCACCAACGATGGAATTGAACCAAACTTGGCACACAGTTCTCCCATGACCAACAGAAAATACTGGAAGGGTTTGGTGGGCAGTGTCCTTTGGTTTTGGAGTTGTAGTTCACCTACATCCAGAGATCACTGTGGACTCAAACAGTGATGGATCTGGACCAAACTACATGAATACTCAATATGCCCAAATGTGAACACTGGTGGAGTTGGGGGAACATAGAATCTTGACATTTGGGAGTTGTAGTTGCTGGGATTTATAGTTCACCTACAATCACAGAGCAATCTGAACCCCACCAATGATAGAATTGGGCCAACCCTCCCACACCAAACCCCCATGTGGGCCACAGCAACGCGTGTCAGGGGACGGCTAGTCAAGAATAATTTTTATTTAGGAGCGATTCAAACATTGATCATTCACATTGATATATTACCGTATTGCAATATGTAGAGCAGAGCTCTCCAAACATTTCATGTTGTTGACATGCTTTTTTAAAGACATGCATCATTTCACAACACAGTGGTTGAGTTTTACTAGCAAACCAGGATTTGGAAGAGATATGGACACATGCTATGAATGTGATTGCAGATAAATTTGCTTCAGCAAACACATTTCTTTCTCTGCTTTCTTGACTTATTTCCTTCCCTTGAACTGACTGAAAATGATTGATGTGTGATGACAAAACAAAACCACACTTTCAAGTGCCGACCGTGGAAAGACCTGTCACTTTACTCTTGTGTTTTCCTCCAGGTGAATCTCATTTTCTGGCAAACCAGCAATCGTTCCTTTACTTCCAAGTCTTGTTCCTGACGGCCCAGTTCGAGGCGGCCATCGCTTTCCTCTTCCGCACAGAGCGCTTACGTTGCCACGCCGTCCATGTTGCCTTGGTCCTCTTTGAACTCAAGATGCTCCTGAAGTCTTCCGGGCAGAGCGCACAGCTTTGTAAGTCTCACAGGAAGCTAAAATCTCTTTTCCGGACTTGAACTTGGCCTGGATTTGATATTCTTTGGTATTCAGCCGAGCTGCCGGAAATGAACCGGGAAGGACCCCTTTGGAGCCTTCCTGGAACGAAAAACAGGCCACATAATCTTTCAGCTAAAAATTCAGGAAAGATTCTTTGTGTGTGTGCGTGTGTGTGTCAGGAGTGACTTGAGAAACTACATGTTGCTTCTGGTGTGAGAGAATTGGCCGTCTGCAAGGACGTTGCTCAGGGGACGCCCGGATGTTTTGATGTTTTACCATCCTTGTGGGAGGCTTCTCTCATGTCCCTGCATGGGGAACTGGAGCTGACAGAGGGAGCTTATCCGCGCTCTCCCCAGATTCAAATCTCCGACTTGCTTGTTTTGCAAGCACAAGCAGCAATATCTGTGAGTTTAGGGCAATGGGGCTGAGCGGTCACAGCCATATTTTCTGCATCATGTTTCTCAGTCAATCAGAGGGCTTGTTCTGTCCATTCTCCTCCCTTCTTGTGCCACGTGCCGTTTTGGACTTCAAATCCCAACAATCCCTGCTGTACTTATTTTAATGTTATTGGTAAAATTTTTAAAATTTCCCAGATATCAGTGGATTTGCAAAACTTTCTGAAACTTGGGGGGGGGGGGGGGGGGGTATGCCGTCACACCCAGACACCTTAAAAATAAAACTCCGATGTGCAGCTCTCTTTGTCTGAGCGGACCGCTGGGATCTTTCTTTAGAAGCTCAAATTTTCTGAGTAACTGAGTCCACTTCAGGTATTGAACACCAAACAAAGTATTTATTTCCAAAGTCCCTGCAGACTTGGCACAACTTACACTGTTCTACACATTTTCAGTTTTTCTCAGTTGCGGAAATGAAATGTGCCGTTTCATAATAAATTTAACATGCTGAATTCAAATATAATAATTAAATGTGTTAATTGGCTCTGGTTTTTATGCAACAGCTATTTCAATTTTCTCCACAATAGGTAATTCGTTAATATTATGATAATGCGCCTAACCTTACTGCATGTATATAAACCGTGAATATTTACTAAATTTTAGTCAAATTATTTTGCCAATAGTTTATACATGAGAAATATTTATTTAATTAGTCTATTGTTTATGTTTGTGCAGCAAGAAACTATATTAGTAGGCCTAATGCAGTTGAAAAGTCTGAAAGTTTAAATGTCGCTTTAATCGTGACTTTAGTTTATATCCTGTTTGCTTCTCTTGACTTTTCTTTTGTATTCAAGGAAAGGATTGTCTCTTCCAATGCTCCAGCAGGAGTCTGACAGCATTGACGGAGTCCATTGGCCTTGATATCTTTTTTCCATAGTGCTTTATTTACACACATGCGAGGAGGCAGAACTACAGTAAAAAGAACAAAGTAAAACCATGTTTAACGATACTGTCTCAGTCTTCAACTGACTGACCCTCACCGTTCAAAAGTCTGGCCTTATATAGGGCTTTCTGGCTTTTGCACACAGCACTAATACTGCGTCATCAAACTTTCTAGAATATTCTAGAATCTTCCATATTGTAAGTCACAACATGTATTTTTTCAACCATACGTGATCACGTGATGGCTTATATCATAAAAACTAGAGCCAATATCCATTTTTAAATGTCATTTTCGTTTTCAGCACCCCAAAATCATAAAAGAACAACTATTTTCAGGCCCGAAACTTTTTCTCCGTTGAACAGTGTTATCAAAGTTACAAACAGTCAATTGTTTTTTGTTTTTTGGTTTGTTTTTTTTTTTTTTTGTCGTGTTAGGAGCGACTTGAGAAACTGCAAGTCGCTTCTGGTGTGAGAGAATTGGCTGTCTGCAAGGACGTTGCCCAGGGGATGCCTGGATGATTTGATGTTTTTATCATCCTTGTGGGAGGCTTCTCTCATGTCCCCGCATGAGGAGGTGGAGCTGATAGAGGGAGCTCATCCGCCTCTCCCTGGATTAGAACATGCGACCTGTCGGTCTTCAGTCCTGCCGGCACAGGGGTTTAATCCACTGCGCCACCGGGGGATCCAGTCAATTGGTAAAGCATAGAGATGAGTTTTCCCTTCTTCCAAAAAGTAAAAGGAATTCTGGAATCCCTAACCCTGAGCTCCTATGGTCAGAAAAAAGCAGGTTTTTTTCCCTATCTATTGCTCAAAGTTGGAGCCCCCGGTGGCGCAGTGGGTTAAAGCACTGAGGTGCTGAGCTTGTTGATTGAAAGGTTGCAGGTTCGATTCCGTGGAGCGGCGTGAGCTGCTGTCAGCCCCAGCTTCTGCCAACCTAGCAGTTCGAAAACATGCAAATGTGAGTAGATCAATAGGTACCGCTCCGGTGGGAAGGTAACGGCGCTCCATGCAGTCATGCCAGCCACATGACCTTGGAGGTGTCTACGGACAACGCTGGCTCTTTGGCTTAGAAATGGAGATGAGCACCACACCACAGAGTCAGACACGACTGGACTTAATGTCAGGGGACTACCTTTACCTTTTTATTGCTCAAAGTTAGCTTTGGAGGCAAATGCTCAGTGCTATCTATCTAACTCAATAGTTCTTTCTCAATAAACTCAATACTTTCTCAATAGCTTCTCTATTAATCTATCTATAATTTCTCTATGAACTCAATAATCTTCTCTATCTATCTGTCTCAATATAGCTCAATAATTATCTATAACCCAATATTAATAGCTCAATAATACTTGCAGTGGTTTCTCAGAGCTACCCTGATCTGGCCAACAGCACATCTGAATTCTTCCTTCTGACTGAAAAGGCAGGGGAGATTCTAAAATGGAGATCTCTTCCCTGGGAGAAAGGGCGGGCTCTAAACTCAAAGAGCTGCTCTTTAGGCCAATAGCTGCAAAGGGTCTGCAGATTGGCTTTCCCGCCTCTGAAACTGCTAACCTTTTAGGGCTTTCCAAAGCTGCAGCAGCCCTGAGAGAAATACAAGGGGAAGACACTCTAAGTAACTAAAAAGGTAATGTAAACCAGACTCCTGGGAGACAGAACAGGGGGCGACTTATGGTCGCTAATGTGTGTGACCATAAGTCTATCAGTATTTCATCCTGATAGCCCTAAAAGTGACAGAGAAACGAGCCTCAAGTTTCCCCATTGGCACCAATGGATCAAATCCTACCAAAACGAAAAGGGAACTCAGGGTTCCGAATTAAGAATCTGAATTACCTCCCTCCTAATCTCATAGAATCTTCCTGAAAATGAAAGGGGAGTAAATCCCAAATCAAAACAACAATGGAATGGATTTCTGCCATTTACTTATTTATTTATTTATTTATTTACAGCTTTTATATTCCGCCCTTCTCACCCCGCAGGGGACTCAGGGCGGATTACAGTGTACACATATATGGCAAACATTCAATGCCAATTTTTGACATACAACATATACAGACATACACAGAGGCTATTTAACTTTTTCTGGCCGCCAGGGGAGCTGTCGCTTTCATCGTCCATCTGCGACACTGATGAAGTACTTCCGCATTCCCCGCATGCTTTTTTGCTGGAGTGCTTTGCTGGAGTCTTTTTTATGGCCTCATAAATTAGTTAATTTAGCCTCCCCACACTTTAAGGTGGTACCTAATTTTCCTACTTGACAGATGCAACTGTCTTTCAGGTTGCAAAGGTCGACAACAGGCTACACAAAATTGGTTGGAAACCCACTCCAACCCGGGCTGGCTTCAAACTCATGACCTTTTGGTCAGAGTGATCTTAATGCAGCTGACACTCAGCCAGCTACGCCACAATCCCATTTCCACACACTCCCCATTTTTAGTCCTCCTCCTTGACCAAAATCGCCTACTGTAGTTTACTTTTCTTTCAGTACAATTTCCCAAATGTTCCTCATCCAAGATTGTAAATTGGTACCATCAGACGACTTCTAGTTCTTTCTCTGTGAATTTATGAGTTTGGTTTGGTTCAACAGTGACAAATGCAAGATACTCCACTTAGGCAGAAAAAAAACCAAAATGCAAAGATCCAGAATGGGGGACAATGCCTGGCTCGAAAGCAGGACGTGTGAAAAAGATCTTGGAGTCCTCGTGGACAACAAGTTAAACATGAGCCAACAATGTGAGGTGGCGGCAAAAAAAGCCTGCATCCATAGGATTTTGGCCTGCATCCATAGGAGCATAGTGTCTAGATCCAGGGAAGTCATGCTCCCCATGCTCTATTCTGCTTTGGTTAGATTACTTTACCTGGAATATTGTGTCCAATTCTGGGCACCACAATTCAAGAGAGATATTGACAAGCTGGAATGTGTCCAGTGGAGGGCGACTAAAATGATCAAGAGTCTGGAGAACAAGCCCTATGAGGAGCGGCTTAAGGAGCTGGACATGTTTAGCCTGAAGAAGAGAAGGCTGAGAGGAGATATGATAGCCATGTATAAATATGTGAGAGGAAGCCACAGGGAGGAGGGAGCAAGCTTGTTTTCTGCTTCCCTGGAGACTAGGACCCAACAATGGCTTCAAACTACAAGAAAGGAGATTCCATCTGAACATGAGGACTGTGAGAGCCATTCAGCAGTGGAACTCTCTGCCCCGGAGTGTGGTGGAGGCTCCTTCTTTGGAAGCTTTTAAACAGAGGCTGGATGGCCATCTGTCAGGGGTGATTTGAATGCAATATTCCTGCTTCTTGGCAGAATGGGGTTGGACTGGATGGCCCAGGAGGTCTCTTCCAACTCTTTGATTCTATGATTCTATGGTTTGATTTTTCAGTGAGCCATGAAGCTGGAGACCCTCCGGCCATCCGCCGCCTGAATTTTGTCCGCTTGGTGATGCTTTACACCCGCAAGTTCGAGTCCACCGACCCTCGAGAAGCCCTGCAATACTTCTATTTCCTCCGGTGGGTTCAGCTGCTGCTTTTCTTTCATTATTAAAAGCAGTGCTTCTGTCTCTCATCAATACTTTGGTCGTTCTTCTTTTGCAGGAATGAGAAGGACAGCCAAGGGGAGAACATGTTCTTGCGCTGCGTGAGCGAGCTAGTGATCGAAAGCAGAGAGGTATGCACAAGCAAATTGGTGCCTTCAATCCGAAGTTTAGAATAGAGCCATTCTTCTCAAAAGGTCCTCATAATACAGCAGGAACAAATAGGCCAGTGTCCTCAGTTTGTAGTCTTGTGTTGATTTCTGTTGCATTTTGAATGGGATTGCCGAGGAAACAGGGACTACGTGGTTCTAGGTTTGGTTCTATGTGCATGCTGTAAATTATGCTATTTATGGAGCTGGCCCAGCAAGAGGTCCTAAAGTTAAATGGGGCTTTGGTGTTGGTCAAGATGTTGTTGCTTTTTATAATAATAAATACCAAAATGGCAATGTGTGTTGCTTTCCTTCCTGAAGGAAATGAGGAGGCAAGAATGGCGGGCGGGCAAAATGGCAGGTGGGAGTTTTCCTCAGGAGGTAAAATGGCAGGAATGAGGCAAAAATGTCTTTACTAATAATATAATTTATTGTGTATACATATAATATTTATATATTTTTTTGTCGTGTCAGGAGCGACTTGAGAGACTGCAAGTCGCTTCTGGTGTGAGAGAATTGGCCGTCTGCAAGGACGTTGCCCAGGGGACGCCCGGATGATTTGATGTTTTTATCATTCTTCTGGGAGGCTTCTCTCATGTCACCACGTGAGGAGCTGGAACTGATAGAGGGAGCTCATCCGTCTCTGCCCGGATTTGAACCTGCGACCTGTCGGTCTTCAGTCCTGACGGCACAGGGGTTTAACCCACTGCGCCACCAGGGGCTCCTATAATATTATAATGTAATACACTGTTTCTCAACCTGGGGGTCGGGACCCCTGTGGGGGTCGCGAAGGGGGTGTCAGAGGGTTCGCCAAAGACCATTAGAAAGCAGTATTTTTGGTTGGTCATGAGGGTTCTGTGTGGGAAGTTTGATCCAATTCTATCATTGGTGGGGTTCAGAATGCTATTTGATTGCAGGTGAACTACGAATCACAGAAACTACAACTCCCAAATGTCAAGATTTATTTACCCCAACTCCACCAGTGTTCACATCTGAGCATTTTGAGTATTTGTGCCATGTTTGGTCCAGTGCTCTCTGGATGTAGGTGAACTATAATTCCAGAACTCAAGGTCAAAGCCTACCAAACCCTTCCAGTATTTTGTATTGATGGTGGGAGTTCTGTGTGCCAAGTTTGGTTCAATTCCATCATTGGTGGACTTCAGAATGCTCTTTGATCGTAAGTGAACTATAAATCCCAGCAACTACAACTCCCAAATGTCAAGGTCTATTTTCTCCAAACTCCACCCATGTTCACATTGAACATATTGGGTATTTGTGCCATGTTTGGTCCAGATCCATTATTGTTTGAGTCCACAGTCCTCTCTGTATGTAGGTGAACTACAACTCCAAAATTTAAGGTCAATGCCCACCAAACCCTTCCAGTATTTTCTGTTGGTCATGGGAGTTCTGTGTTTTAAGCTTGGTTCAATTCCATCGTTGGTGGCGTTCAGCATGCTCTTTGTTGGTGAACTATAAATCCGAGAAACTACAACTCCCAAATGACAAAATCAATCCCGCCCCACCCCCCTGCAACCCCACCAATGGCCATTGGGCGTATTGGGTATTTGTACCAAATTTGGTCCAGTGAATGCAAATACATCCTGCATATCAATCAGATATTTGTATTACGATTCATAACAATAACAATAGAAAAATTACAGTTGGCAAAAAAAAAATGGTTGGGGGGGGGGGGGTCACCACAACATGAGGAACTGTATTAAGGGGTCGCAGCATTAGGAAGGTTGAGAACCACTGATGTAATACAATATAATACTAGTAATAATAATACAACATTATAATTATATATTTATATTACATGTAATACTACTAATAATATTGCAATATATTGGTATAGTGCAATATAGTAATATATAATACTGATATTGTACCATGCTAATAATATAATCTATTGTATGTATATATATATCTTGTAAGCTGCTCTGAGTCCCCTTCGGGGTGAGAAGGGTGGCATATAAATGCTGTAAATAAATAAATAAATAGGTTCGTGTGTGTGTGTGTGTGTGTGTGTGAGAGAGAGAGAGAGAGAGAGAGAAGAGTGAAACCCTTGTGCCGGCAGGACTGAAGACTGACAGGTCTGAAGTTCAAATCCGAGGAGAGTGCAGATGAGCTCCCTCTGTCAGATGCAGCTCCCCATGCAGGGACATGAGAGAAACCTCCCATGAGAATGGTAAAACATCAAAACATCTGGGCGTCCCCTGGGCAACGTCCTTGCAGATGGCCAGTTCTCTCACACTAGAAGCAACTTGCAGTTTCTGGGGTGCCTGCAGTAGACATACGATGTGGCATGTGTTGCCACATGTTTGTGGGCATTCTTTGGGTGTGTTTTTACACATTTTCTTCAGGGTTGTGTGTGGTGAGTGGCATGGCCAGTGTGCCGTGCAAATTCTACATACCCAGCCAGTTTTAAGCATGAATTTTAAACTCATGTTCTGAATCTACAATTTGGTGATGGATCTGGGCATTGTATGTTTTTACCCTGTTTCCCCTTCCTTTCCGCTCCCTCACCCATATTGTGCTTCAGTAGTTATATTTATATTTTTAATGTACCAAACATACCAAGTTTGTATGAAAATGTGACTCTATTTCCTGTGCTGGTCAATGACCGAAATAAATGACTTGATTTGATTTGATTGAACTCATGTTCTGTGCTCAAACTCTGTTCTGTGTATTTTAATGTATTTCATAGAAATACATTTTAGTATGTGCCTTTTGTGGAAATACATTTTAATATTTATAGAATTTTTTACAATGTTTATGTGTTTTAATTATGCTGCAACCTGCCTAGAGCCATGTTTTTTATTATTATTATTATTATTATTATTATTATTATTATTATTATTTACTAGTCATCCCCTGCCACACATTACTGTGGCCCAGTCTGTGTATATGTGTTTTGTCTGTGTATATATTTCTGTATATGGGGTTTTGCACATGCGTTGTAATGTATATTTTTATTTTTCCGCTGTGTTTTTCAGTGTTTTTATGAGTGATGATCACTTGTTGGCTTGATAGGTGTATTGTGTCCAAATTTGGTGGCAATTCGTCCAGTGGTTTTTTAGTAATGTTAATCCCACAAACAAACATTACATTTTTATTTATATAGATGTTTTTGTGCATGTGGCAGAGCTCAGGCTGCATTGTAATAGGTGGTCAGTGGTTTGCTCTTCCCCACACTCCCATGGAGTTTGTGGCCCCATTTCTTAAGGTTGGCTCTGCATCTCGTGGTGCCAGAGCGCAGTCTGTTCAGCGCCTTCCAAGTCGCCCAGTCTTCTGTGTGCCCAGGGGGGAGTCTCTCATTTGGTATCAGCCATTGGTTGAGGTTCTGGGTTTGAGCCTGCCACTTTTGGACTCTCGCTTGCTGAGGTGTTCCAGCTAGTGTCTCTGTAGATCTAAGAAAACTATTTCTTGATTTAAGTCATTGACGTGCTGGCTGATACCCAAACAAGGGATGAGCTGGAGATGTCAATAGTTTAGTCCTTTTATTATTGGCTGCTACTTCCCGACGGCTTTTGGGTGGTGCAGTACCGGCTAAACAGTGGTGTGGGGAGTAGACATCCTGTGATAATGTGGCACGTCTCATTAAGAGCGTGGTGAGATGTGCTCCACACTGAGCATGCACACTCAGCAGCAGAGTAGCAAAGCGCAAGGGCAGATGTCTTCACGGTGTCTGGTTATGATCCCGTAGTAGTTTGAAAGAGGCTATTAATCCTTCAGAATCGAAAGAAATAAACTGGAAAGAAGGTCTTCCCCTTCTTCCTATCTAGATTGGGCCAAAAGGCTTTCGCAGCTTCCCAGTTTCTCCTCCCTTTCCCCCCAAAACCTGCCACATCTCCCAATGCCATAGACTTGTCAGGCCTTTTTGAAGCTAGATCACTTGCCTGATGCTTCTTTGAGCCCATAAGTAACACTATTAGACATCAATTTGAGTATCATAATCTTTAGCACACCTTTCTTAACTTTCGTTTTGTTTTCCTTGCATTGGTAGTTTGATATGATCCTCGGAAAGCTGGAGAACGACGGAAGTAGAAAGGTAAGTTGACTTCCCTTCCAATACATTAAGTGGGCTTCAGGAGAAATGCCTCTAGAACATGGCCCTATAGCCCGAAAAAACCTACAAGAACCTAGTTCCATACTTCGCACTTTAACAACACAACCATTCAATGCTAAGGCTTCCTGCCAAAATGGAACTGCAGAGGAGAGTCTACTGAACAAGCCAGTACCTGCTGCATACAGTGTTTAAGTCGCATTGACCTTAAGTCTGTGCAGGATTCCATACTTCACACTTTAACAACACAACCATTCAATGCTAAGGCTTCCCACCAAAATGGAACTGTAGAGGAGAATCTACTGAACAAGCCACTACCTGCTGCATACGGTGCTTAAGTTGCATTGACCGACCGTCTGCGCAGGGTTCCATATTTCACACTTTAACAACACAACCATTCAATGCTAAGGCTTCCCACCAAAATGGAACTGTAGAGGAGAATCTACTGAACAAGCCAGTATCTGCTGCATACGGTGCTTAAGTTGCATTGACCGACCGTCTGCTCAGGGTTCCATATTTCACACTTTAACAACACAACCATTCAATTCTAAGGCTTCCCACCAAAATGGAACTGTAGAGGAGAATCTACTGAACAAACCAGTACCTGCCGCATACGGTGCTTAAGTTGCATTGACCGACCGTCTGCTCAGGGTTCCATACTTCGTACTTTAACAACACAACCATTCAATGCTAAGGCTTCCTGCCAAAATGGAACGGTAGAGGAGAGTCTGCTGAACAAGCCAGTACCTCCTGCTGCAGACCAGTACTGCCATCTGTTGAGGAGTTATGAAGGTGGAGGCATTACTTTTCATTCAACCCTCGTAGGTAGGTAGGTAGGTGGGTAGGTAGGTAGATAGGTAGGTAGGTAGAAATGTAGTTCTTTCAGCTCCCCAAATCCCAAACCATGGCTTCTGGGAGTTCTTGTTCTTCACCTTTAAGCCTTCTCACCCTGTGGGCCTAAGTGCCTTTGCCAATTGATCGGTCAATCTGCACCTTTGCAGCCATTCCTTTGTCCAAATGTTTTCTCCTAATGTCTCTCTTCATCCTCTCTCATCAGCCTGGAGTCATTGACAAGTTCACCAAAGACACCAAGCCCATTATTAACAAAGTTGCTTCGGTAGCGGAAAGCAAAGGGCTGTTTGAGGAAGCTGCCAAACTGTACGACCTTGCCAAGGTAAGCAGGTTACACTGTTCTACAAATTTTCAGTTTTTCTCAGTTGCAGAAACGAAATGTGCCGTTTCTTAATAAATTTAACATGCTGAATTCAAATATAAAAAATTAAATGTGTTAATTGGCTCTGGTTTTTATGCAACAGCTATTTCAATTTTCTCCACAATCGGTAATTCGTTAATATTATGATAATGCGCCTAACCTTACTGCATGTATATAAACCGTGAATATTTACTAAATTTTAGTCAAATTATATTGCCAATAGTTTATACATGAGAAATATTTGTTTAATTAGTCTATTGTTCATGTTTGTGCAGCAAGAAACTATATTAGTAGGCCGAATGCAGTTGAAAAGTCTGAAAGTTTAAATGTCGCTTTAATTGTGACTTTAGTTTTTATCCTGTTTGCTTCTCTTGACTTTTCTTTTGTATTCAAGGAAAGGATTCCCTCTTCCAATGCTCCAGTAGTAGTCTGACAGCATTGACGGAGTCCATTGGCCTTGATATCTTTTTTCTAGGCCTGTTTGATCAAGAAAAAATTTGTTTCTAAAATCGATTTGTAATTGGGGTGTTTTTTTGTTTCGATATTTAAAATAATTACAAAACTTTCCCCCAAAAAAGTTTTGGTATTTAAGAAATTTTGTAAATATTAACGAATTTTTAGAATATTTTTTGTATTTCTTAAGAATAATATTAAAATAATATTAAAAAATATTTTAAAATGGAAAATTAACCAAAAAATGGCCCAAATGTGGACCAAACACAGGCAGGATACAGCAAATGAGAGCACACACCAACAGAAGAGTCTTTTCTTTTTTAGAATATTTTTTAAGAATATTAAAATAATATTAAAAAATAATATTAAAATAATATTAAAAATATTTTAAAATGGAAAATTAACCAAAAAATGGCCCAAATGTGGACCAAACACAGGCAGGATACAGCAAATGAGAGCACACACCAACAGAAGAGTCTTTTCTTTTTTAGAATTTTTTTAAGAATAATATTAAAAATAATATTAAAAATAATATTAAAATAATATTAAAATAATATTAAAATAATATTAAAAATATTTTAAAATGGAAAATTAACCAAAAAATGGCCCAAATGTGGACCAAACACAGGCAGGAGACAGCAAATGAAGCAAGCAGCACTCACAGCAGCAAGGAATGAATCCAATCCCAGTTGCTAGCAGCCAAGCCAACCCAATGCAAACTCCCTCGCCCTCTGCAGCAAGCTACGGGCCGCGCGGAGCCGCTTTGAAAGGGCTCGCCGGCCAATCAAAAACAAACACAGCCACGGACCCACGGTGCACTGCTTGGGAGCGCCGGATTGGCTCCCAGGCACCAGCACTCCAGCAGCCTCCACCCCATTAACGAAACGAGCGGAGGCTCGTTAAATCTATGGGGGTTGCTGGTTCGATATTTAAAAACCCTTCCGGGTTTGGAAATATGTTTTGATATCGCTTCAGAAATGCTAAAAATAACGAATTAATAACGAATTAACGAATTAACGAACGAAACCGCACAGGCCTACTTTTTTCCATAGTGCTTTGTTTACACACGTGCGAGGCATAACTACAGTAAAAAGAACAATGTAAAACGATGTTTAACGATACTGTCTCAGTCTTCAACTGACTGACCCTCACCGTTCACAAGTCTGGCATTATATAGGGCTTTCTGGCTTTTGCACACAGCACTAATACTGCGTCATCAAACTTTCTAGAATATTCTAGAACAGTGGTTCTCAACCTTCCTAATGCCGCGACCCCTTAATACAGTTCCTTATGTTGTGGTGACCCCCAACCATAACCCTCACATTATGAATCGCCATGTAAATAATGATCTGCAGGATGTATTTTCATTCACTGGAGCAAATTTGGCACAAATACCCAATACACCCAAATTTGAATACTGGTGGGGTTGACGGGGGGATTGATTTTGCCATTTGGGAGTTGTAGTTGCTGGGATTTAGATTACCTAACACTCCAAAACAAACAATGCCCTTATCAAATAGTTTATAGTTAACCTGTAAACAAAGAGCATTCTGAATCCCACCAACAATGGAATTGAACCAAAGTTGGCACACAGAACTCCCATGACCAACAGAAAATACTGGAAGGGTTCGGTGGGCATAGACCTTGAGTTTGGGAGTTGAAGTTTGCCTACATCCAGAGAGCACTGTGGGCTTAAACAATGATGGATCTACACCAAACTTGGCACGGATACTCCATATGCCCAAATGTGAACACTCGTGGGGTTTTGGGAAAATAGACCTTGAGATTTGGGAGTTGTACTTGCTGGGATTTATAGTTTACCTACAATCAAGGAGCGTTCTGAACCCCAACAATGCTAGAATTGGACCAAACTTCCCTCACAGAATCCCCATGGCCAACAGAAAATACCGTGTTTTCTGATGGTCTTTGGCGACCCCTCTGACACCCCTTCGCGACCTCTCCAGGGGTCCCGACCCCCAGGTTGAGAAACACTGTTCTAGAATCTTCCATAGTGTAAGTCGCAACATGCATTTTTTCAACCATACGTGATCACATGATTGCTTATATCATAAAAACTAGAGCCAATATACATTTTTAAATGTCATTTTCATTTTCAGCACCCCAAAATCATAAAAGAACAACTATTTTCAGGCCTGCAACTTTTTCTCCGTTGAACAGTGTTATCATTACCAGACTCCAATTATACAATTTCATTCAATCCATTGAACACAGCTCCTCTTCCCCCATTGCTTTTTCTCCCCTTCCCTTCTGTCTCACAATAAACATGACTTAACTAAGCCTTCTTTTTCCGGTCTGTGCCGTCCTCAGAACCCAGACAAGGTCCTGGAGCTGATGAACAAATTGCTCAGCCCCGTCGTCTCTCAGGTCAGCATTCCCCAGTCGAACAAGGAACGGTTGAAGAACATGGCTCAATCCATTGCCGAGAGGTAAGGCAGCAAATTATTGGGAAATGTGCTTCGCTTTACCTGCCTCTCTAACTTGTCCCTATTTTCCTAATCTTTAGTCCTTAGGAGAGACAGTTAACAAATAAAATGTATTATTGTTATTTGTTACTGGGTTGTTGTAGGTTTTTCCGGGCTATATGGCCATGTTCTGGAGGCAATTTTTCTCCTGACGTTTCGCCTGCATCTATGGCAAGCATCCTCAGAGGTAGTAAGGTCTGTTGGAAGTAGGAAAAATAGGTTTATATATCTGTGGAATGACCAGAGTGGGACAAAGGACTTTTGTCTGCTGGGGCTAGATGTGAATGTTTCAGCTGATCACCTTTGATTAGCATTCAATGGCTTGGAAGTGCCTAGGGGGAATCTTTTGTTGAGAGTGATTTTATGTGCCTGTTTGTTTCCCCTCTGAAACATTCACACCTAGCCCCAGCAGATAAAAGTCCTTTGTCCCACCCTGGTCATTCCACAGATATATAAACCCATTTTTCCAGTTCCAACAGACCTCACTACCTCTGAGGATGCTTGCCAAAGATGCAGACGAAATGTCAGGAGAAAAATTGCCTCCAGAACATGGCCATATAGCCCGGAAAAACCTACAACAACCCATTACTGTTGTTATTATTATTATTGCTAATACTACTACTAGCCGTCTCCTGCCACGCGTTGCTGTGGCCCAGTCTGTGTATATGTGTTTTGTGTGTGTATATATGTGTATATGTTGGATGGGGTTACACTCCCCTTGAAGATGCAGGTTCGCAGCTTGGGAGTGATCCTGGATTCATCGCTGAGCCTGGAACCCCAGGTCTTGGCGGTGGCCAGGGGAGCTTTTGCACAGTTAAAGCTTGTGCGCCAGTTGCACCTTGGGAAGTCTGACTTGGCCACAGTGAACCACGCTCTGGTTAAATCCCGAATAGATTACTGCAACGCACTCTACATGGGGTTGCCTTTGAAGACTGTTCAGAGACTTCAACTAGTCCAATGGGCAGCAGCCAGATTACTCACCGGAGCACCATACAGGGAGCATACCACACCCCTGCTGCGTCAGCTCCACTGGCTGCCGGTCCACCTCCGAGCACAATTCAAAGTGCTGGTCTTGGCCTATAAAACCCTATACAGCTCCGGCCCAGCTTACTTATCCGAACGTATCTCTCTACGTTCCACCTCGTAATTTAAGATCTACTGGGGAGGCCCTGCTCTCGGTCCCACCAGCGTCTCAAACGCGTCTGGTGGGGACGAGGGACAGGGCCTTCTCGGTGGTGACCCCTCGCTTATGGAATTCGCTCCCCAGCGAAATTAGATTGGCGTCCTCCCTCCTTACTTTTAGGAAAAAACTAAAGACGTGGTTTTGGAGCCAGGCCTTTGGCTAGTGTGCACAGCAGCGCTTTAGGCACTGAACTCGGACAATAGGATTGTTTGAAAATTGGAAATGGCTTTATGACCTGTGATTCTGTGATCTGTTCTATGTGGTTATGTAATTTTAATTAATATCACTGCTTAATTATTATGTAATGGATTTTATATTGCTGTTTTATATTGTTGTTTTGATACCGTTGGCATTGAATTGTTGCCTGTGTTAGCTGCCCTGAGTCCCCCCTCGGGGGTGAGAAGGGCGCGGTAGAAATGGTCAAAATAAATAAATATATGTGTGTGTATATTTGTGCATATGTGTATGTGTGTCTGTGTGTATATATATATATATGGTTTTGCGCAAGTGTTGTAATGTATTTTTTTTGCTTTTTAAGTCCCTTCCTCTGTGTTTTTTAGTTTTTTTTATGAGTGATGGTCACTTGTTGGCCTGATAGGTGTCTTGTGTCCAAATTTGGTGTCAATTCGTCCAGTTGTTTTTGAGTTATGCTAATCCCACAAACGAACATTACATTTTTATTTATATAGATTTTTATTTGAAACACAAGAGGGGTCCACAGCAAACAAGATCACTCTGCTGGCTGTTGTATTGAATCACACGTCGGAGTATATAGATTATTATTATTATTATTATTATTATTATTATATTTATTTATTTATTTATTTATTTACTTACAGTATTTATATACTGCCTTTCTCACCCCTAGGGGGACTCAAAGCGGTTTATTATTATTAGTAATATATTATTATTATTATTATTATTATTATTATTATTACATTATACTTTTTATTATTTGATGATGATGATAATAATAATAATAATAATAATAATGATAGCCCCCTGCGGCTTGAGAAATGTCTTCAATGCTGTGGACAGAGCTGCAGCTAATCCCCGATATCTTTCCCATGTTATGTCCTGCAAGCTGATCATCCCCTAATTCAGTCTAGATTTATCAGTATTTAAATTGGATTTCTTCCAGTGTGGCTTTTCCAACTTCTTTCTGCAATACCCTCCCTCGTCTCCATTAATAAATTAGCCACCTCTGTGTAGTAGCGACTGCAACAAATAGCTCAAACAAGGGACACTAGAGCATCCTAAAAAACACGTTCGAACCCTCAAAGGCATGATGGATCTGGCCACGGTGGTCCACGCTCTTGTTACATCCCGATTAGATTACTGCAACGTGCTCTACGTGGGGTTGCCTTTGAAGACTGTTCGGAAACTCCAACTAGTCCAGCGGGAGGGAGCCAGATTGCTCACCAGAGCGTCATACAGGGAGCATACCACCCCCCTGTTGTGTCAGCTCCACTGGCTGCCGATCCAGTTCCGAGCACAATTCAAAGTGCTGGTTTTGACCTACAAAACCCTATACGGCTCCGGCCCAGTGCATTTGTCCGAACGGATCTCCCTTTATGTCCCACCCCAGAGTCTAAGATCTTCTGGGGAGGCCCTGCTCTCGACCCTGCCTCTATCACTAGTGAGATTGGCGGGGACGAGGAGCAGGGCCTTCTCGGTGGTGGCCCCCCACCTGTGGAATTTGCTCCCCGGGGAAATTAGATCAGCGACATCACTCCTTTCCTTCAGGAAAAAACTGAAAACATGGATTTGGGACCAGGCATTCGGACAATCGTGCAGATAAAGAAAGGACTTTGAGAATGGCCAGGAAATGACTAATGGAATGGAATTTGGAACTCTGAAAGATGAACGCTGAGCATTTGAATAGTTTTTATATGATGTGATGTATATTGATTGTTATGATTGTTTTAACTGTGATAATTGTTTTAACTATAGTTTTTGTACACTATGTATAATTTTTGTATAGGCATTGAATTGTGCCTTTTGTAAGCCGCCCTGAGTCCCCCCTCGGAGGTTGAGAAGGGCGGGGTAGAAGTACCCGAAATAAATAAATAAATAAATAAATAAATAAATAAATAAATAAATGGGACATGTTTCTTTGCTGGGAGTACCTGCTGTCATTCTCCTGTAAGGATTGTTGTAATAATTCCATTGGAATTGCAAATGCTCAGTATGATTTCTTCACTAATTTTAGGGATTTGACTTCTTCTGTCTGGGAAGAGCACATTTCATACTTCTTGCAGGACAGACATTGCAGAATATTCATGGGCTTTATTTTATTATTCTTCCAGATACAAGGCACAGGGAATCAGTACCACAAAGCCCGTCAACTCTACTTTTTTCTTATTGTTGGACTTGATCACCTTTTTCGACGAATACCACGCCGGTCACATTGACAAGGCTTTCGGTGTAAGTTTCACCCAGGTTGTTTTTGGCTGTGTACACACGTATACGCAAGCATGGGCAGCTGGCAAAGCTTCTCTAGATTCTGAATAGCTTTGAAGGAGGTCTCTAAAGTGCTGTGCAGACCTGCCATCAAAACACCTTTGGTTGTGTTCACTCATTCAAGCAAAATGATCGTTCCAGTAGTAGAGCCTCCTCTTAAGTAGAGTATGAATGTAGAAGAGAAATGTGCCATGTCACACAATCACACTGTCGTGACCCAGAAACCTCAAGTAGAGCCAAACACAAGATAAAGTGTACAAACATAGCTTTATTATACAAAAAAATAGTCTTTTTAAGCACTTAATTTCAGAGCAACAATATGGCATCAAAAACAAAGTGATACCAGCAACAAAAATATAACCCGGATTATAATACTGTTTAATCCGGGTTAAACACAAAGTTCAGCAATTAGCTTCAAAATACACACAGTTCAAAAATGCAGTCACAGAAAAAGGAAAACGAAGTCCCCAAAATGATGCAAAGTTTACACAAGAAGTTAGCAATGTTTAAAGTCCAAAAGCCCAAAAATGTTGGTCAAACCGGTCCGTGGTCAAGCCGAGTAATGTAAACACTGGAACGCAGGAAACACAGGAAAACAGGAATCTGTAGCCAAGGACCCAAGCTCAAGAGTTGGCAGTAACAAAGATTTATGTCCCATAAAGACACTTTGCCTTCTGCAAAGAGCCATACATTCAGAACCCACTTTTATCCTACAGCTCCTCATTAGAGGATGATGAGCTCTCCTCCCTTTCCTCATCGCTCTCAGCTGCCTCCATCCCCACAGCTGAACCTGAGCGCCCATCTCTCCACCTCTGCCAGCGTCTGCTAAGACTTAGATCTTGCCAAGAGCTCCCTGGTTGCCAATCCCCTGTGAACCCCTCAAATTCCCGGTGTCACAGTGGGTTAAAGCACTGTGCCTGCAGGACTGAAGACCAACAGGTTGCTGGTTCGAATCCGGGGAGAGGCGGATGAGCTACCTCTAACAGCTCCAGCTCCTCATGCGGGGACATGAGAGAAGCCTCCCACAAGGATGATAAAACATYAAAAATCATCCTGGCGTCCCCTGGGCAACGTCCTTGCAGACGGCCAATTCTCTCACAACAGGAGCTCCTGACATGACAAAAAAATCACTGGAAGTGGGTTGGTTACAAATGTCTCTAATCTGTTGAACACGGRTCCAATCCAGCCCATCCTCCTCTCCCATATCACTCCCAGACCCATCACTCCTTTCAAACCCCATGAAATCCTCGTCTTCTGTCGGAGCAGTAAGTATTTCCCGGATGCRCTTCCTCTGAAGCTCCTCATCGGACTCCGGATCGCGAGTAACCYTCTTTACTCCCCTGCTCTCCTCCCCATCCCCCATCTCRCAATCGGAGAAGCCCTCAAACGTCTCTGAATCACTTGGGGCCATAATTATCTYCCTAATGCKCTTTCGCTGTTGTTCCTCCTCCAACTCCTGCGCAGACCTCTTCTCCCTTCTACCAGTAGTAGTAACGTTATCAGCACGCTGAACTACAACACACACCTTGTGTTGCGCTAGAGCCCTGAAACACCTTTCCACCACAAAGATAATCTAGTAAGTAAAAGTTTGTTTAAATAAAAGTTATATAAAAACAAGAAAATTCAAAAGAGAGAATCAAAGTTCAAATTTTGAAGTTATCTGAGTCCAAAAAACAGTCTCTAGAGTCATCCATAAAAATAGCATGAATCTAAGAAAGCCAACATATTTAGTTATTTATTTACGACATTTCTACCCCGCCCTTCTCATGAACGAGAAACAAGAACAAACTTAGAAACTTGAATACATGAATTCCAAGAATATAGGACCAAAAACTGAGTGCTGTTCACCTGAATACAACGTTGCTGTCCCAGAGAATTGTACCAGCAGGAACCACTTTAAAAGACCCCCATTCCTTCCCATAACATCATTGCTCACACACCTGCTTTTCCTCTCCTTATCTCTAAGCCTCTGGGAAAAGTGAGTCTGTCTTTGTTGCATGCTCTGTCTCTGCAGTTCCAAGTGCCTTGACCTAGACCAGTGGTTCTCAACCTTCCTCATGCTGCGACCCCTTAATACGGTCCCTCATGTTGTGGTGACCCCCCCCCCCCAACATAACATTATTTTTGTTGCTACTTCATAACTGTCATTTTACTACTGTTGTAAATTGTAATGTAAATAGACAATATGCAGGATGTATTTCCATTCACTGGATCAAATTTGGCACAAATACCCAATACGCCCAATTGTGAATACTGGTGAGGTTGGGGGGGGGGGATTGATTTTGGGAATTATATTTCACCTACAATTATAAATCATTCCGAACTCCACCAGCAATGGAACTGAACCAAACTTGGTACACAGAACTCCCATGACCAACAGAAAATGCTGGGAGGGTTTGGTGGGCATTGACCTTGAGTTTGGAAGTTGTAGTTCACCTATATCCAGAGAGCACTGTGGACTCAAACAATGATAGATCTGGACCAAACTTGGCACAAATACTCGATATGCCCAAATGTGAACACTGGTGGAGTTTGGGGGAAATAGAGCTTCATATTTGGGATTTGTAGTTGCTGGGATTTATAGTTCACCTACAATCACAGAGCAATCTCAACTACAGCAACAATAGAATTAGGCCAAACTTCCCACTAGTAATTCCCATGACCAACAGAAAATAATGTGTTTCCTGATGGTCTTCGGCGACCCCTCTGATACCCCCTCATGACCCCCTCAGGGGTCCCGACCCCCAGGTTGAGAAACGCTGACCTAGACAATCATTCATCTCCCACATTTCTCTCAGCCGGCACTTCCGGCAGGTTCTCATAAGAACTGATGTCACTTTCTCCAGTCTGGTGGGAACTGCCAGGAGGTTCCAAAACAATTCTCTCCAGGCTACTTCTCCCCTCCTCTGTGCCCTCTAAATCTATCCTAGCACCCCCTTCTTCATCGTCTGAGCACTCAGAATCTGACCAGGTGTTGCACTTCAGACCAGGGAAGCTCTCTGACTTTAAACACCACACAGCTGAATAGAAATGCAAGCAGTTTATTGAAGATAGTTTAAAAGAAGTAGCATTAAAAAGCCCTCCATAAAAATAGGTAAATCCAATTAGGTAGAAAGATAAACAGGAACAAATAGTCCAGGAAATTAGTCCATCAGAGTTCATGAAAGACAAATACAGAAACTTTCAAGGTAAAACTCCAAAACTAGAATCATAAATCCAAAAAAGGCACTTAACACATTAATCTATCCAAGGCAAATTTTCCAAGGACTATGGAAGATGTCTTGACTCAATTTTCAACATTGGTTCATCTGACTACAGATTCTGTACTTGGCACGTTTATCCACTAATCTTATCATTATCCCAAGTGGTGAGAAACAGGTTTCGTTTCAGCCTTGACTCAGTTATCAATCTTTCTCTTAGCCTGGCAGAATGCCTGAGCGATTGGGCTGTTTGTCTGTACTCATTAAAAACATGCCTTCTATCGATTCGCTCATTCTATCTTTCATTCTAGATCATTGAACGGCTCAAACTGGTCCCCCTCAGCCAAGAATATGTGGAAGAAAGAGTAGCAGCCTTCAGGAATTTCAGCGATGAAGTAAGCCAACGCTGGGAGCTGCTTTCCTTCTCTTGAAATCAAGGGTTGAAGTTTTCCCATGCTTCTTTAAGACTATGACATTCACCTAACCAATCCCTGCCTTGTCTCATTCTTTTTATTCTCTCTCTGCTTCGGTTTCTTGTTTAGATCAGACAGAACTTGTCGGAGGTCCTCCTTGCCACCATGAACATCTTGTTCACTCAGTACAAGAGGCTGAAAGGGACCAGTCCGGCCACTCCTGCCAGACCGCCACGTGTCGTTGAGGACCGAGACTCGGTACGTTTGTCCTTCTTAAAGCTCTCAAGGCAGAAGAAGATGGGGACCTAAGGCTTCTCCAACATTCCCTGTGCCAGAAACAACACATTCAGTGTGAAAACGTGTGAATGTGCACCCTCTGAGTGGCAAATTTGTTCATCCAATCTTGGTTCCCAATCTTTTTAGTCCAGCATTGGTTCTCCGACCATTTGTAACACTGATGAAGTACTTCCTCGTTCTTTGCATGCTTGCTGGAGATTTTTATGGCCTCGTAAATTAGTTAAATTTGCCTCCCCGCATAAGCGGTACCTAAATTTCCTACTTGACAGATGCAACTGGCTTTCGGGCTGCAAAGGTCGACAGCAAGCTACACAAATTTAGTCGAAAGCTCACTCCGACCCGGAGTGTTCATTTAAAGAATTGGTTCCCAACCTTTTTTGACCAGGGACTACTTTGACCAGGGACGACTCTCCAAAATTATTTATTATTTTATTTATTTACAGTATTTATATTCCACCCTTCTCACCACTCAGGAGACTCAGGGCGAACTACAATGTACATATACATGGCAAGCATTCAATGCCATAGACACACAACATATATAGACAGACACAGAGGCAATGTAACATTCCAGCTTTTCTTGAGGGTATTCTGGCCACCAGGGGAGCTGTCCCTTCACCGACAAATGTCCTTCACTCAAATGTATGTCCTTCACTCAAAAAAATAATTTTGTCATTTGGGAGTTGTAGTTGCTGGGATGTATAGTTCACCTACAATCAATTAACATTCTGAACTCCACCAAGAATGATTTTGAACCAAACTTGGCACACAGAACTCCCATGACTAACAGAAAATACTGGAAGAGTTTGGTAGGCATTGACCTTGAGTTTGGAGTTGTAGTTCACCTCCATCCAGAGAGCACTGGGGACTCAAACAATGATAGATCAGGACCAAACTTGGCATGAATACTCAGTATGCCCAAATGTGAACACTGGTGGATTTGGGGGAAATAGGCCCCGGCATTTAGGAGTTGTAGTTGCTGGGATTTATAGTTCACCTACAATCAAAGAACATTCTGAACTCCACCAAGAATGATATTGAACCAAACTTGGCATACAGAACTCCCATAACAACAGAAAATACAGGAAGGGTTTGGTGGGCATTGACCTTGAGTTTTGGAGTTATAGTTCACCTACATCCAGAGAGCACTGTGGACTCAAACAATGATGGATCTGGACCAAACTTGGAACGAATACTCAATATGCCCAAATATGAACCCTGGTGGATTTGGGGAAAAATAGGCCTCGACATTTGGGAATTGTAGTTACTGGGACTTATAGTTCACCCACAATCAAAGAGCAATACTCAATATGTCCAAATGTGTACACTGGTGGAGTTTGGGGAAAATAGACCTGGGAAATTTGGAAGTTGTAGTTGCTGGGATTCATAGTTTACCTGCAATCACAGCCGAGGAGGGCTTTTGGTGGGAGGATTTCAATGGCTTCTCTGTGTAGTCTGACATGTCAGACCACCATGTCAGAAATGCTGGACCACTCTAACAACCACCATGTCAGACTACACAGAGAAGCCATTGAAATCCACAAGCATGTGGACAATTTCAACAGAAAGGAGGAAACCATGAAAATGAACAAAATCTGGCTACCACTATTAAAAAAACTCTAAAATTACAACAGCAAAACAACAGAGAGGAAACAATCTGGGACATCTAATCACCTCTCAACAAAAGATTGCCCCAGGCACTGCCAGGCCATCAAATGCTAATCAAGGTGGTCAGTTGAAACATTCACACCTAGCTCCAGCAGGCAAGAGTCCTTTGTCCCACCCTGGTCATTCCACAGATATATAAACCCATTTTCCTAGTTCCAACAGACCTCACTACCTCTGAGGATGCTTGCAATAGATGCAGGTGAAACGTCAGAGGAGAGAATGCCTCTAGAACATGGCCATATTGCCTGAAAAAACCTACAACAACCCAACCAATAACAGCAGCAACAGGACGCAATTGTACACAGTTGATGCTTCTGTGCTGAAACGGGGTGGAGAAAAGAATAAGAAGTTTGCACACTCATAAAATCCAAATCTCACACTTTCAGCATTGCTGCAGGTCAGACTGCCGCTGATTTGTTTTGAGCTTTTTTATTGGCGCCGAAGGGCATTCTTGTGCTGTGTGAAAAAGGCGCAAGTACAGTAATTGCTAATGAAATGGTCAGCGACTGCTTTAGATTGAATAATTGCAGCAAATAGTACACCTGCAGCTTCAGGCGTCCCTTAACCTTTTGGGGAAGTGCGAGAGTGAGTCAGCTGAAATGTAAATATAAAGAAATATAGTGAAGAAGGGAAAGGCTTCACATTTGCTGTATCTATCTGTGGAGGAAAATTTTTGTTCCTTGCGCTGATGTTTTAAGGCAGGAAATAGCAAGGTTAAGTCAAACACAGTAGCTGTTATGGTTGCACCTCAGCTAGGGTTCACCTTGCTCAAGCACTCACCAGGAAGCCAAGCGTAGTTCCAAACAGTTTATTGATTTTATTTATTTATTTATCGTGTCAGGAGCAACCAGGCATTTGTATTACATTTTTAACAAAGCAAACAAACAAATAGACAAAACACAAAGTTTACAAGCTTGGTAGTTGATTAAATGTCCTTTGACCAGTATCCGGCCCCTTGGAGTGCTTCTGGTGTTGCCGCAAGAAGGTCTTCCATTGTGCATGTGGCAGGGCTCAGGGTGCATTGCAGCAGGTGGTCAGTGGTTTGCTCTTCTCCACACTCGCATATCGTGGATTCCACTTTGTGGCCCCATTTCTTGAGGTTGGCTCTGCATCTCGTGGTGCCAGAGCGCAGTCTGTTCAGCGCCTTCCAAGTCGCCCAGTCTTCTGTGTGCCCAGGGGGAGTCTCTCATTTGGTATCAACCGTTGATTGAGGTTCTGGGTTTGAGCCTGCCACCTTTGGACTCTCGCTTACTGAGGTGTTCCAGCAAGTGTCTCTGTAGATCTTAGAAAACTATTTCTTGATTTAAGCCGTGTGCTGGCTGATACCCAAACAGGGATGAGCTGGAGATGTCTCTGCCTTGGTCCTTTCACTATTGGTTGCTACTTCCCGGCGGATGTCAGGTGGTGCAATACTGGCTAGACCAGTGGTTCTCAACCTTCCTAATGCCGCGACCCCTTAATATAGCACCTCACATTGTGGTGACCCCCAACCATAAAATTATTATTATTGCTACTTCCTAATTGTAATTGTGTTACTGTTATGAATCATAATGTAAATATCTGAAATGCAGGATGTATTTTCATTCCCTGGACCAAATTTGGCACCAATACCCAACCACAGCGCTCCATGCTGTCATGTCAGCCACATGACCTTGGTAGAGTTTGGGGAAAACAGACCTTGGCATTTGAGAGCTACTGGGATGTATAGCGCCCCTGCCATCAAAGAGTAAGACCGTGAGCGCAGCCCTCCGCCTCGCCCCCCGCACCCTTCCGAACTCGGAAAGGCGCGGGGGTCGGGCAGCCCTCCCTCACCCAAACGGCAAGGGTCGGCAGCCATTTTGGCAGGGGCGGGGCCAACCAAGGCAGCTTCGCGACCCCCGGAAATGGCCCAACGACCCCCCTGGGGATCGCGACCCCCCAGGTTGAGAACCGCTGGGCTAAACAGTGTAATTTCTCCAGTGGTGTAGGGCGCAGACACCCCGTGATAATGCGGCATGTCTTATTAAGAGCCACATCCACTGTTTTAGTGTGGCGAGATGTGTTCCACATTGGGCATGCATACTCAGCAGCAGAGTAGCGCAAGGGCAGATGTCTTCAATGTGTCTGGTTGTGATCCCCAGGTTGTGCCAGTCAGCTTTCGTATGATATTGTTTCTAGCACCCACTTTTTGCTTGATATTCAGGCAGTGCTTCTTGTAGGTAAGAACATGGTCCAGAGTGACTCCCCGGTATTTGGATGTGCTGCAATGCTCCAGTAGGATTCCTTCCCAAGTGATCCTCAGAGCTCGGGATGCTTGTCTGTTCTTGAGATGAAAAACACATGTCTGTGTTTTAGATGAGGGAGAAACATGGTCGTATTTAAGACAATAGGGTGATGAATGTCATAAGAGAAGCAATGCTCCAGTGGGATTCCTTCCCAGGTGATCCTCAGAGCTCAGGAAGCTTGTCTGTTCTTAAGGTGAAAGGCGCATGACTGTGTTTTAGATGGATTAGGGATCAGCTGGTTTTCCCTGTAGTAGGCAGTAAGGGCACCTAGTGCTTCGGAGAGCTTCTGTTCAACCATCTGAAAGCTCCCTGCTTGAGCGGTAATGGCACGATCATCAGCATAGATGAAACTCTCTGTCTCTTCTGGCAGTGGCTGGTCATTTGTGTAAATATTGAACATGGATGGAGCAAGCACGCTCCCCTGAGGCAGACCATTCTTCTGTTTCTGCCATCTGCTTCTCTGGCCCTAGAACTCAACAAAAAAGCTCCTGTTTTGTAGCAGGTTTCCTATGAGGCGGGTGAGATGGTCGTCCTTTGTGATATTATACATTTTTCTCAGGAGGAGGCGGTGGTTCACAGTATCGGGATGCTTGTCTGTTCTTAAGGTGAAGTGCACATGTCTGTGTGTATTGATAAAGATTATTCATAAAGCACACACAGTAAAAAAGTAAAAAATCCAAATATGTAAAGAGAGCGAGAGTCCCAAGAGCCAGAGATAAATCTCCAATGCAAAGTTTAAAGCATGAACATTAATCCAAGGTGCATGGAACAATCATGAGTGTTGCAACTCAGGGTAGCTTTCACCTTGCTCCAGACACCACCACACCAAAGCTGTAGGTTTTGTAGTTTATCGAGGAAAAGGCAAAATCAAAAATAAGTATAAGAAATGCATAAATTCCATAGGCAGGACAAAGGCTTAAATGCAAAGACACAGTTCCCAAGATCCAAAGGTAAAAAACATGAAGCATAATCCTTTAGCAATGTTCAAACAAGAGTCCATAGAGTTGAAAACAAGGCCCAAATCCCAGACTCAGGAAGCCAGAAGCGTGCTGCTAAAAGCCAAAGTTAATCCACAGAAATTTGCATGGAAAGTGCTACATTGGACTGACAGCCCCTGCTTGTCAGCTACAAGGCTAAATACCCTTTGCAGACATGAACGCATTGTGTTGACCTTTGGCACCCTTGGCTTCTCGCTTGCTAGCCAAGCGAGTGCTTCTCCAGAGCCTTAATTGCAGATGATCTTGTCTGCTCATTCATTCATTATCTTCAAGGCTATGCAACCCCTTATGTTGGTCCAGCTGGACCAGATCACTGTGGGAAGGTAAAGACGTCTCCACCTGGCCGTGTGGGATTTCACTCTCGTTATCAGTCTCACTAACATTCCTTTCCCCTGGGAACTGACTTGCTGTTTCTCCTTCAGCAGCCCCACCATCAGCCCTGTCTGAAACATGTGCAGAAATCTGTAACCCATCAGCCTCCTCATCATCCTGTAGGAATTCTGTCTCAGAAGGCCCAACGAACTGAGCTTCAGACTCAGAGGCAAGCTGAGTCACAACAATGAGCCTGATTAATCCAAGAGACAAGGAATAAAACATGAGCTTGAGTAGTCCAAGAAACAAAGAACATGATAAAATCCCCAAGACTGGTAGCAAAACTTGACTAGGAAATTTGGCTTGAAGCTAGGAACAAGACAGGAGCTTCTTGCTCTATTTGCTACGTTGCTTGATGTGAGAACTGAGAGCGATTATTTCCCTAATTAAGGATAGCAATGCATGAAAACATTCCGTCGGCCTTGAGGAGTCTCTCTTGACCTCCCTTTCCCATGGCCTGGCTTGCACCTGGAATTCTTCCTCTAAAGGAGCAGCCTTGATTCTCTGTCCAACCTCCCTCCCTTCCTTCTCTGCCTGTCAGCTTCTAAAACAGTTGCGTTTTCACGCAGAAAATCAACCAAATTCCCATTTATTTATTTATTTACAGCTTTTATATTCTACCCTTCTCACCTCGCAGGGGACTCAGGACGGATTACAGTGTACAGATATGTGGCAAACATTCGATGCCAATTTTTGACATACAAACATATACAGACATACACAGAGGCTATTTAACTTTTTCTGGCCGCCAGGGGAGCTGTCGCTTTCATCGTCCACCTGCGATGCTGATGAAGCACTTCTGCATTCCCTGTATGCTTCCCCGCTGGAATGCTTTGCTGGAGTCTTCTTTATGGCCTCATAAATCAGTTAATTTAGCCTCCCCACATTTTAAGGTGGTACCTAATTTTCCTACTTGACAGATGCAACTGTCTTTCGGGTTGCAAAGGTCGACAACAGGCTACAGACTCTAACCCGGGCTGGCTTCGAACTCATGACCTTTTGGTCAGAGTGATCTTAATGCAACTGACACTCATCCAGTTGCGCCACAATCCCGGTGCCTTTCACAGCAAAAAACATGCTTCAGCCCATCTATCCGCAGAGTCCAACTGCCAGTGTCTGATCTTGTCTGCCCACTGTTTAGTAAACTCACAGATTTAGGTTTTCATCCAAAATATCTGAAAGCTTTAATCTTCACCATTGCAATATATACAATTATGCAATCAGTATTCACAGATCCTCATTTCTTGTACTTGGAAACAACCAGAGTTATCAGATAGTCACATACAACATAGGGAGATCCTCACACTGAGTCACATAGGAGAGAAAAAGATGAATCCTTTCATTATCCTTATATAGCCACCTGCTGATAGGTCATCAGTAAGTGTTGCAACCCAGAGCAGGAAACTGGACCCTCAGACAACAATCCACCACACTTGACTTCAGGAAAAACAATCCTTTTTTATTGGTGAAAGGTGAGTACAAAAATAGAGGAAATATGCAAGGTAAAAAGCCACAGTAAAAATCAGCAACAAGAAATGTCCATGAACAAGATCAAAAACCCACAGTAACACTGTTAAATCCTGGAACCTGTTAGCAATCCACTCACCGTACTTGAAGCAACTAGGAAGCCTCTTAGGAATGAGGCCACTGGAATCAGGAGACCTGCCAAGGATGATGCTTGAATCTGGAACGATGCCTGGTCTGAAGATGCATCCAGGCACGATTTTCTTAAGGCCGAGAAATCTATTACGTGACACGCCTGCCGACTTTGTTTGCATTTCTCTCAGTCTAGCTGACCTTCGTAAACTTTGAGATTCTCCCCTGCTCTGCCAAATCTGCCCTCTCCTATCCTCATTAGAGAGACCAGGTGTCAGATTCTCTGGAGAGCTAATATTGGGAGGAAAAGGGAGTGAAAGTTCACCGCTTGGCTCTGAAAAATTTTCATGGGAATTTGAACTTTCACTTTCCAAGGCTGCAGGAGTTTCACTACACAAACCGTCATCTTCTACATTGCCCTCAGAATCAACATCTTCATTGGCATCAGGAAATACAATCAGAGAATCAGGTTCAGGTTCACATACAGGCTGAACCCCAACACTAAGGGATACTGGCCAATGCAACCCCTTTGCAATAACCCTCACATGGTTATGATTCAGCCATTACCACATCCCTTAGGTATTGCATCATGACATTCACAGTTATACCCATACCCAGGTGCTATCCATATACCACATGTTCATCAAACAGTATCTTGTTTTATGATTAGAAATGCTTTGCCATTTGTATGTAATATATACTCTTATTGATGAAGCATAGAATCATAGTGAAATTTTCCTCTAGAACCAGGATGGAGTTGACCGCCTGCTTGTGTACAATGTGCATATGTTGGAGGTGAGCAGAAGCAATAACCATCATCGCCATGGATTTACCTTTCTGCTTAGAAACAGCTCCAACTCATGGCACACCTTGATTTCCGCCGGGGAAGGGCTGTCCTCGCAGAGAGGTCTCTCCCACCCCAGATTCATCTCCGTTCATCCTAACTCCGCCGTGTTTCTCTTCTTGTGTTTTCCAGCAACTCCGATCCCAAGCGCGGGCCCTCATTACCTTTGCCGGCATGATCCCGTACCGAACCTCCGGAGACACCAACGCCCGGCTGGTGCAGATGGAGGTTCTCATGAATTAGATGTTTGGGGGCGAGCTCTTGGTTTCATTTTTGTATCCTCCGTGGAGGAGTCCAGTTTAATTTTGTCGGGCGGCTCTGGGTTTTCCGTTGTCATTTCTGTTTTTTGTACGATGTACTTTTTTGTCCACCACAATAAATTCTTTTGCGTTTCTATTTGTTTTCTGACATTTTCTTTTCCTTTTGCCATTTTTTTTTACGTTGTCTTATCCATTTACGTTCCCTTTTTTTTTTTTTTTTTTTTTGCAATGTTTCTTCTTTTGGAGTGGTGAGAGAAGACGGAGGGGGGAAGAAACCTGTGAGTGAGGAAAGAAAATGCTTTGAGACAGATACTGTTTATTTTATTTTCTGGAGTGGCTTAGTCCTTTTATGGGATTAAGAACAAAGCATTGGTCTTGGTATGTAATATTATTTCAACCAGGGCTTCCTACGCTGCCTGATATGACTGGCACCATATTTGCTCCCATTGATTAAAACTACAGGGTGTCCCAAAAAGTATACACACTTCAAAAGTTGATAGCTCAATTGATTTTTTTTCCTCCAGGTTAAACCCATTGGAATTAATAATGGAAATCAGACTAAGCTTTGAACAAAGGAAATTTGAGGTTTGTTGGAACTAGGAAAATGGGTTTATATATCTGTGGAATGACCAGGGTGGGACAAAGAAAGGAGGAAACCATGAAAATGAACAAAATCTGGCTACCAGTATTAAAAACTCTAAAATTACATCAGCAAAACAACAGAGAGGAAACAATCAAGGACATTTAATCACCTCTCAAAAAAAGATTGCTCCAGGCACTGCCAGGCCATCAAATGCTAATCAAGGTGGTTAGTTGAGACATTCACACCTAGCTCCAACAGACAAGAGTTCTTTGCCCCACCCCAGTCATTCCACAGATATATAAACCCATTTTCCTAGTTCCAACAGACCTCACAACCTCTGAGGATGCTTGCCATAGATGCAGGTGAAACGTCAGGAGAGAATGCCTCTAGAACATGGCCATATAGCCCGAAAAAACCTACAACAACCCAGTGACTCCGGCCATGAAAGCCTTCGACAATACAAGAATGAATTCCTATGCACATTGCACATATGCACATTGTCAAAGATCAAGGATTCTGGGAGGCGAAGTCCAAAACACCTGGAGGACTTGAATTCTTGAGCCTTGGCTTCTGGAAAGCCTCCGGAAAGAAACAGAGTTTTCGTCCATATTTGGTAAACACTGATACGCTCACCTGGGAACCTCTCTGAGTCCCCTCGGGGAGATGGAGCAGTATATAAATAAAATTATTATTATTATTATTATTATTATTATTATTATTATTATTATTATTATTTCCAACTGTGCACTTTCCCCCTTGGGGTTATCTTAGTCTCTGTCAACACTGCCATAAAAAATCCAGGCTATCTGCTTTGAACCGGATTATATTTATTTATTATTCATTTATTTACAGTATTTATATTCCGCTCTTCTCACCCTGAAAGAGGATTACAATGCACATATACATGGCAAACATCCAATGCCATAAACATACAACATATATAGTCAGACACAGAGGCAATTTAACATTCCAGCTTTTCCGGCTTCATGAGGGTATGCTCAATTCCGGCCATAGGGGGAGCTGCTCCATTTGTGACACCAAATCCTCGGTGGAGTACTTCCTCATTCTTACGCATACTGCTGGAAGGTTTTATGGTGTTGTAAATTAGTTAAATTACCCTCCCCTCATAAAGTGGTACCTAAATTTCCTACTTGACAGATGCAACTATAATATCATATATTGTATTTATTTATTTATTTATTTATTTACATATATATGACAGACACAGAGGCAATTCAACATTCCAGCTTTTCCGGCTTCATGAGAGTATGCTCAATTCCGGCCACAGGGGGAGCTGCTCCATTTGTGACACCAAATCCTTGATGGAGTACTTCCTCATTCTTACGCATACTGCTGGAAGGTTTTATGGTGTCATAAATTAGTTAAATTACCCTCCCCGCATAAAGTGGTACCTAAATTTCCAACTTGACAGATGCAACTATAATATAATATATTGTATTTTATTTATTCATTTATTTCATACATTTCTATCCCACCCTTTTCCCCACAAGGGGACTCAGAGCGGCCTCACATAGGCATCAACGATGCTTACAACATATACATCAAAGAATACAGTAAAACAGTAAAATCATCTTAAAACATCAAACACATCAGCCAATACATTCATTTACCAGATAATATTAAAATGCTAGTAAAACAAAAATCAAACTGGGAAATCCAGTGTCGCAACCCAAAATCCTTTCCTATTGTCATTATCATCTAATCAAATGCCTGGCTGCAGAGCCAGGTTTTCAATTCTTCTTGAAGGCTACTAGGGTAAGGGCTTGAACCAATGGTAGGCACTAGGCTTGGGCGATCCAGTTCGTTAATTTCGTAATTCGTTATTAATTCGTATTTAAATTAGCTTACGATCCAATATCGAGCCATGCAGGAATAGTGTGAGGAGTAATTAAGAATCGAAACAATTTTTCCAATTTTTGTAATTATTTCGTAATTATTTCCGTATGTCTGGTGCAAGTTTTACAATCTCGCATTTACCCCACTTCCGGTCCCTTTGCTCTGCTGCTTCCCTCCTCTTTCCTCATGCTTCTTCTTGCCTCACTCTAATATACAATACTATAATATAATATATATTATTATAATATTATAATATAATATAATATAATATTATAATAATACTATTATATTATTAATTATATATTATTATTAATTATATATTACTATATATTACATAATATAATATAATATATATATAATATAATATAATATAATATAATATAATATAATATAATATAATATAGTTGTTGTTTGTTTTATCACACCAACAGTCAACAACAGAGGGAGAGGGAAGCTTCAGAAGTTCCCCCCGTCCCATTTGGAGGTTTTTTTAGCATATTGCGCAATCGCGTCCGCCATTAACGAATCGATTCATAATTTTCCGAAATTTCAAAATTTTGAAATCTTAAATTTCGGAAGTCCTCAGAATTTCAAAACGCTAGCGCACCCTAGAAACGAAACGAGTTTAGAACCAATTTTTTTCTTGATCGCCCAAGCCTAGAAATTGCAGTAAAAAGAACCTATGCTTTAAAATCTCGCCACTGACACCAATATAATGAAATGCGTAGTTATCTAACACCAAGTATCTCACCAGTATAAAGTATATACTATAATATATCCCACAGCTGAACACCACTGTAAAGGATTATATAAATATATCACACTACTGGACACTAGTATGGTAGCGAGTTGATGTTAGAATGTGTAATGGTAGAGTGAACACTGTTTCAGTCTTCTTTTGGTTTAACGCTGCCACCAACCCAAGATGTCTTAGGATTTTTAAAATGAGTCTTTGAGGTAAACTTTCCCCTTCTCTGCCAACACAGCTCTCCCCTTAGCTCCCAAAAAATGACTGCTTGGAAAAGAGACCTTTGTGTGGTATCAGGATGTTAAAGAGGCTAGAATTATCACAAAGGATTACTGATAGACTGAGGAACGATTGAGGCCTTTTGGAAAGTTGAATAGAAAAAGATTTATTTATAAAAACAACAGACAACTAACTTCTTCTGAGAGGCACAAAAGCTTGACTTGTTACAAAAGTACAATAGCTTGATGGTTGCTGGAATAAGCTTCTTCCTTTAGTTACATACAGAGCTAATCAAACAGATATGGCTGCTGGTTACAAAAAATCCCTCACTCTACTTCAGAGAAATAGCAATGAGTTTCTGACTAACCTAACCTAGGTAGTCTCCTGAGTTATCAGCTAACTCTCCCAGAGTTCTTACTGCTAACTAACTCAGTCTAGAGAGCAAACCCCTTGTGCTATCTCCCACAAGAAATCGGGTAGCTATCTGACCTTTCCTGTCAGCTAATCAGCCCTGCCTGACACAGACGCTCTCACTCTGAAAAACCTAGTTTCAAAAACACTTCTTCATTCACCAGCTCCCAACTCTCTTCTCCTCAGAAGCTGAAATCTTTTTCCCTCCTAAGACTTGGCTCCTCCCATCTGCTCTAGCCAATCCCAGGAGACCTCAAACTCCTCCCATTTTCTAGCTATTCTCACTCAAGATGGCTGCTTCCCTGGCATACACTCTCAAAATGGAGGTTTGCCCTACTGTTATCCAGGCTTCCTTTTTGGCCTACTAGGTAAGATTCACTACAGGGGGGCACTGCCGAGAAAGCCCTGTCTCTCGTCCCCACCAACCGCATTTGTGAGAGTGACAGGATCGAGAGCAGGGCCTCTCCTGACAATCTTAAGCTTCATGATGGTTCATAGCAGGAGATTAGGCCTGGGTAACAACGCAAAAATTTGTTTCTAAACTCGTTTCGTTTTTAGGGGGTCCATTGCGTTTCGTTTTTAAAAAGAATTCCGAATTTTTCTTTAAAAAAATTTCGTTATTTACGAAATTTCATAAATTTCGAATTCATTCGTTAATGGCGGACGCGATTGCGCAATACGCTAAAAAAAACCTCCAAATGGGACAGGGGGAACTTCTGAAGCTTCCCTCTCCCGCTGTTGTTGACTGTTGGTGTAATAATTTATTTTTTTATCACTAATAAAGCAAACAACAACTATAAAACTTGCACCAGACATACGGAAATAATAACGAAACAATTTGGAAACCATTTCGAAACAATTCCGAACCAATTACGAAACAATTACGAAATAAATTGAAAAATTCGTTTTGATTTTTAGTTGCTCCTGCATGGCTCAATATCGGATCGTAAGCTAATTTAAATACGAATCAATAACGAATTACGAAATTAATGAACGAAACCGCCCAGACCTACAGGAGATACATTCGGACAAGTAATCTGGGCCAGAACCAATTCTATAATATTGATAATATAATGCAATACAATGTAATACTACTACTAATAATAGATAGGGCCTTTTCAGTGGTGGCCCCTCGGCTATGGAATGCCCTCCCCAGAGATATTAGATTGGCTCCCACTCTCCTAACATTCCGGAAAAAAAAGTCAAAAACTAGCTTTGCGAGCAGGCTTTCTCAAATGCAATGTAGTAAATAATTCCTTGACCTCGGAACGGCTGGACAATTGCAATCGGATGAAGATTCTGGAAATTAGTGGTGAGA